CTAATGTTTTGAGTTGTACTTTTTTTTTTATTATCACATGAAAAATATATTATTAATAAATATGATCGTGTCTGTGAAATTTTTTTAAACTATTATATGTTTATCGTACTCTTTGGAATATATATAAATAAATACTTAAAATATTATTAGTATATGTTTGACTACTCTTTTTTTAGTGGTTATTTTTATATTTATTTAGAATTCTTATCCGTCACACTTTTATTTTTTAAAAATGTATGATGAGTTAAGAGAGAAGAGTGTATATAAACTATTATTGACCTTGATTCTTAAGCGATATGTGACTCGTGAATGTATCGAAATATAAACTCTCGATCGAGGACTAAGGGATATGTAGAGCGAGACTCTACTCTCGGTCCATATTGGGTGTCAATATTGCATATAAAGAATAAGAGTGTCATAGTCTCATATCCATTATGATAACACTGTTAAGGTCAATTTTCATATTAAAAATATTGTTCACTTTAAAACTCTTATCCATAGAAACATTTTACAACTTCCAAAATTTATTTTTTACATTGTGTACCTATGTCTTGAGTACTCATGGTATTATTTCTTTAATATTTTTTCAGTGATTCTTCGATTACTACGTTGAGGTGTGTTGATACGAATATTAAATAATTAGAATTAATGATAATTAATATATAAATATCATAATTAGCATAAATTTATCTATTTTGTTGACTTATAATCTTTTTTGCAATATTACAATATAAAATTATTAGCAATTAATTTATATAGATCAAATTTTGTATAGTTTTGTACAAATTTAAATTTTGTTTGTAATTCTATATTGTCACTCTATCATATTACGTTATACCATCTAATTTGGGACTCATACTGTATTTTGTATAATTAAACAAATAAAAAAACTAAGAAGAGTATCACTAAACACTATATCATATCAATTTTACGTAGAACTTTTCTATCTAAATACTATATTATGTTAATTTTAAGAAACAAACACTTACAAAGAATTAGAAATGCTACCTAGAACTAAATATTGAGCAATTAACAAGGAAAATATACATTTGACCTATGTAAATCTTGGGAAAAGAGGTTTAATTATTGTTATCTTAATCTTATTGCTCTAAACTATTTTGATAATCTCTAGTTTGTTTTTCCTTGATATACTACATTTGTTATGTTATTATCGTTGTGGATTATATTCAGAACTCAACTCTAGAGACATGTGAAATTATTGAGAGAAACATGAAAGTTTTAATATAAATACCTATGTAAACTATAATTATCTATACTTTTAGGGCACAAAAAGGGAACACTATGTGAACCATATATTTTGTAGAAATTTCATATTTATGCATAAATATATCAATATTATTTACAATTTTATTCAGTGTCATTTTTTTATTAGAATTTCTTAAACTCGTTCATGCGATAGGTGGTTATTGAATTTTTTTTACATGATTTTTCAATAACTATATCTTCAAAAAGTATGATAATATATTTATTGAATATTAAATAATTACAAATAATCATAATTAATTTATAAATATCACTTAATTAATTTATAAATATTATAGTCAATATATAAAATATTCTTACTATAATTTTGTTTATAATGTCACATAATAAAGTTAATCATAATTAATTTATACATACCCCCATTTTACACAAATCTATTTAATTTGTTGATGAAAATTTCAAATTTTGTTCGTAATATTTTTTATTATTGTTTTCGTGATACTAACTCCAATACTATATTCAAGTGACAGATCTTGATCATTGATTCTAGGGGTCAAATAATATATTATTAAAAAAATAATAAATAAATATAAAAGGGTGAAAGAAAATTAAAGGGTAAAAGGATAAAATTGTAAATATATAAGTAAATATATAAAGTTTGAGGGAGTAAAATAATAAATTATATGAGAGTTACAAAACTGAGAGGATAAAAGTGTAAATATACAAGTAAATATATTAAAGTTTGGGGACTAAAATCATAAACTATATGAGAATTACAAAACTTTGGGGTCACGACCCCCTCACTCCCCAAGAAGATCCACCACTGATCAGTATCTGTCTCACCATATCATATTACCTTATGTTGTTATGTTATTTAATATATGATGATTCATTGTATTATTATTTTATATAATTATTTAACTAAGACTAATAAGAATTCCTTTTGTGAAGGAAACTTTATTAATAAACTCAATAAAGATTAATCTTATTTTATAACATTTACAGGGCTAGAAATGTTATTCAGAGGATTAAATATTTAGCAATTAGTAATATTCCCATACTAACCAATAATGTTGTACTAAGAATTTTTATACAATGGTACATATTTTATGTCACAGGGAATTGAGGACCACATTTAATAAACATATGATAATTATTATATTTATTGTGCAGGAAAGTAAATATAAATTCTGAATTATATGTGTGTGATTATGATGGCTTACAATAAATTAAAGGATTTATAAAATAAAATTATGATAAATAGATTATGCAAATTATTAAATTATTATCTTTCTATATACATAATAAATATGTGTGAGTCACCATTTGAATTTTATATGCAATAACTATAATAATAAAAATTGAATATATTAGCCTCACTAAAACGAAGGAGGTGGTCGATAATTGTTAAAAACTTTGATTCTTAAAATATTTGACCTCCATCAAATCATCTCAACAGAAAACTTATTTATCATTTAAATCTTTATATATGCTTTGCATTATAAATAAACTTATTTATAAGTCAAATTTAAGTGTCACCTGTAATTTGTCGAATTAAATTCACCAAAATCAAATTTCACCGAATTTTTATTTGGAAATTATTGAATGATTTCGAATTTAAAAAAAAAAAACAGACAAAACTTTTTGGCACTAAAATATTATTAGGTCTAAGCCCAAATCAAGAAGCTGATGCCACAATCACCAAATCCACTAAGGCCTAAACATGTTCAAGACATTTTTTGGTATACCTCATTTCTTTTATTTGCAAATAGATATTTTGGAATATGATTTCTATAGTTAAAACTATGTAAAATGACAAAAGAATAAGAATAAATATCTATAATAAAATGCCGCAACATATCTGAGATTCATAATTCCAAGACCACATCAAGAACACTTGCATGTCTGTCAATTGAAATTGAAATGATAATATAAAAGAAAGAGAAAGATAATAAAAAAAAAAAAGAAAAAAAAGAAAAGAGAATATAATGTGTGAGATAAGTGATGACCACTTGAGAATTGTCTGTTGTACATCCTTGTGTTATATTTTTATAGTTTTATTCGATTCTCTTTTCACAAACTATCAAATGGGGACGTTACATATAATGTGAAGCACGCCTTCTTCTCTTGAAATGTGATGGTTCACAAAGTTTTCAGACCAACAATGTCTTTAACAAAAGTAATTTGTTGTTCTGTCCGTGAATAAAAAGGCATGCATTTTCCATACCTTCCATTTAGTAAAAGATTGTCCCTTTGAGGAATATATGCTTCCTTATGTAGTCAATCAAGAAAGTTAAATTGGTGTCTTTGGAACTTTGGTAAATGTCAATGACAAGAATGATAGCCTAAGAGAGTCCATTATTTTAATTTGGTAGATGCACCAACAAGAGTAACAAATTGGAATTTCTGGTGCACATGTGAAAAGTTATAAATTATTTCTTCACCAAATGTAGGGTACCCCAAAAAATGTATTTAAAACCTTTGTTATCTACCAAAAAGAGATAAAAAGGAAAACCTTATCAGCTAATTTTGAATTAGTATATATATATATATATATATATATATATATATATATATATATATATATATATTAGAAGTTTAAAATATATTTTTAAAATTTTAATTTTAGTTGATGAAGAATTCTTTATGTCAAAACCACTGTACAAGATTCTTTCTTTTGTTGGACACTCTCTCTCACACGCACACATAAATGCACTCTTCTCCCTAATAATTCATCCTTGTGGTCCCTCCTTACCATTTATCACCAAGGAACAGGACATCAATTCTCATCACCATTAGAATCATCCAAATAAGAATAATAATTACTGGAGCAGGCCCAGTTGTAAATATTTTAAAGTTCTTCCTAACAATGACGTAAAAGAAAATTACTGTTTTTCAATGCTATTTCTCCATATTTTTTAAGAAGAACTTTTTACCACCTTATTTGGTTGACAAGACCAACATCACTTTCTCAGATCATAAATGCGTGCATGCGATGTAAATACACAAGCAAAAAGACAACAGTAACACCATCCATAATAAATAACATGCAACCAATGAGATATATTATCCAATCTTATTCAATCAGTCCATTGTCATGCACCAATAACTATCCACACAATACAACCTCATAAATGTAACAGGCACAACTCAAACACAAATATCTGTTTCCTACACTGTTGTAACCATCTGGTGGAAACTTGTGAACGAGTGTGCCACACCAAGTTACTTTCATCTCTCACAACCAGTGGAAATTTTCTTCTTTTGATTACAACCACAAAGGATTAATCGTGACAAGGATACAAAAAGAGGAAGCAGGTTTTGGGCCCCATATCAGCGTGCACTCGTTTTATGGAGACTTATCTGGAACAACCAACCACCCTTCTCGTTCAATGATTCAAAATGCTTCACTTTCCATGCTCTGGTGTGAGTGCCACTTTCTCATAGACTAAGACACAGACTAATGATTCAAAGGCCCTTTATTTTATTGCGCTTGATACACTGAACACTTCCGTCTTTCCTTGTACAATGCCTAACATAGATTACACTCACTATACCAATTACCACTTGATCTACGAGTTCCAGTTCAGAAAGGGCTTTAGAAGACAACTATATTCGTATTTCACACGTTGCTGAGCACAAACTCCTTAACAACCACGACCTTGTTTATTTAGCAGACTCCATGAAGTATTAATAACCAGCAAAGCAACAGAACTAACACTTAAGTACTACTTAGGTGTTACATTGAATGACATGCCTGGGAAAGAATCTCCAACTTACAAGGCATCAAGTCCGAGCGCTTGAGCCTTATGCTTCAATGATTTCAAGCTGCGTATTGCATCATCGAGTACCATGACCGGGTCCTTATCTATCCCTCCAGGAATTATGGTTCGCAGAATGCTCAGAACACCTTGAATCTTCTGCTTTTTCATCTTCTTATTGCCAGACAAGGATCCACCATTGTTGTTACTAGAACATCTTGATTCCAAGTCATCATCTGTGGCAGAAGATTCGTTCCTATTCTGAGAACTGGCAGTATCAATGAGCTGTATGTCATCATAATAACCATCCAATACCTTCCTCTTCTTGGTTTTCCCGGCAGAGCTCGCAACTTCTTCTGCAGTTTCAACCCCAGAGGTTTTGCAGTTATCATGAGTGGTCATTGTACTGGGAGAGTGTCCAGTGCTTGTAACTTCATCATCTTCATCATCATCATCCTGGGTAGAATAGTCATCACTGTCTGAGTAAAGCAATGCATTAATTTCTTCTGTGTCTTCATGCATCTCGCTTTCAATGCTGGTTTCATGATTCTCAAGAACCTTGTCAGCCAAAGTTGGTTCAGTCATATGATTCAAATTCAAATCTCTTCTAAAAGAAGGTTCATCCCCCCTCCAAAAGTTAGCACCATGTAGCTTTGAATGCCAAGAAGCAAGGCAGTCACAGGGACTCCCAAGCCTTGATCTATAAACAACAGTTGTTTGACCAGCAGTCTGGTCAATGACAAGAAATTGTTTGTGTTGGGAGCTAGATTGACCAAATGGAGCAATCTTGTTCCCAAAACCTTTCACATGGTCAGCAGGGGTTTTTCCCTCAGCAGTGATGTTCGGAGCAGGGGTAAATTCTTGTGAAAAAGAAGGCAAACAATAACACCAAGGACCCGGTTCGCTGGAACGTCCTAACTGCAAATGAGGTATTGCAGAGGACGCAAAAGCAGGTATTGTCTCATTCGTAGAGACCATATTTACGCCCGGGTTCATGGCTGCAGACATACCATCTTGCTTCCCTACATCAAAGGGGTTCAAATTTGGTGATTGCCATCCAAATTTCAGATGTGGTATCCAGGTGCCCCAATCTTCTCCCATTTAATCAGCACAATCACCTAACATTTACAATATAACATAAAAATCAATATAATTAAACAACATACAAGACATATTTTAATGAATGAGTAACTAATAAAAACAAAAATGTAAAATATACCTGAAGAAAAAACGATTTTAATTCAAGACTACTTGTTACAAAAGATACTTTGTTTCACGAACAAGGAAAACAACTAAAAGAACCAGCTTAACCCACCCAAACGTAGCAAGGAAAATTACGTGACAGGTTTGAGCAAATGACGGAAATATTCAGCCTGGACAACAGCAAAACACAAAAACTAACAGTTATTGGTACGTTCCTTCGCAGATCATGACATAGGCACAATATAACGAAAATGTTGGCAATTATTTAAAAGTGGATCACATACCTGGCATTCCCTGAGAGGTTGAAAACATGCTATAACTCTAACAATAATGGTGGAGTTCCCGGCAATTCCATTTTCATGTTTCAATGCCCGAAATCTCGTTTGACTAGCTGCTTGGCACACCATAACTACTTCCCAACCCTCTTCAATTCAAAATGCAAGAACAGGCTTTGAATTTGACTAAACAAATAAACTATGTCCGAATTACTAAACAAACTCCAACAACTAAACACTCCTAGGAAAAGGAAGGAAAACGATTTTTTTAGGCGAATTTGTGTTCGGATGAATTTGCTAATGCTACCCTTCAGCTGATCTGACGGAAATAGCAAGGAAAAACAACAAAGAAATTGGATCCCATGGAAACTGCTTAAATAGAAGATAGGGAGAGTTTAGATCACACAACAGAAATTACAGAATCACTTTACAATACAGATTCAACGAAATCCCTTTGCGAAACACATCGACAGAAAGACTAAGCCACCACCGCATGCTGTTATGTCCTTACCTACAGAAAGATAAAGTCGTCCCAACCTCACTCACCAACCTGCAACAACATAATTTTCACATCAGAAACTTTCCACAAGTTTCTCTATTTAACATAATCAAAATAAACCACCAAAAAGACTAAAACTTTCAAGAAATTCTCGATCCTTTTAAATTAAGAGAAAAACAACTTATTCCAAAACACCAAACTTGAAAACTACCCAAAACTTATCCTTTGGCCTGGAAAAAAAAATAAAAATATATATATACAATTCTAGAAGAATTGACAATGAACAATTGTTCTTGGCAAGGGAGACAAAAACACAGAACATATATAAAATTGAAAACTTACTTAGAATACGGAGAAGGGAGAAGAGATAGAAACTAGAGTTGAACGAAGAAAGTGAGAAGTTAGAGAGAGAAGAGTGAAAAGGGCGAAAGAGTGGGTGAGGAAGGACAAAGAAGAGAGGAACAAGCGTGAATGGGTACAGTCAAAGTGGAAAGTGGATGTGGAAACTCCAACCCACAAGACAGCACGGGAGTTGAATTATATAGAGCATGCATTGACATATATGCCCTTGATTGAAGTGCATCAAATAATTAACCATTAAATTACTAATAGAAACCCAAAAGAGGCAAAATAATAAGAAGAAAAGAATTGTGTTGGGTTGTGGAGCGTGTGGATTGATATTGATTCATACGTGCACTTGAGGAGTGATGAGTACACGCAAGGTATTAAGTTTACAATGATGAACAATCACAGTAACTTCAATTCAATTCATGCTTTGTACAATAACGTGAACTCATGAATTTTTCTTTGTTTCGTGAAGGGGTGAATTAACTCGTGTGTTTTTGGTTTGAACCAATCTTCCCTCTCTGTTTCTCTTGTCTCACTTTCACTCCACTAGTTACAAGTTACAATTTTATTTCATTCCAGAACTAATCCATGTTCAATGTATATAAAAAAATGCTACTTGTAATAATTTTATTTGGTTGGATCAAAATACTAACAACTATATATATAATTAGTAAACAAAATACTAACTAATGTTGCATCTTTTCTTCTTAGAAGGAATATACTCTGTGTCATGCTTTGATATCTCTATCAACTCTAACTTGTTGACCTCAAAAAACATTACTCAAGCTTAAAATATATTGACATGTGCAATAGTTTATTGTCATTGTTAAGGGTTAGTTCTATTCAGTCTTGGACTTTCTCTGCATCAAACGCACGTATTGACTTTCTATTTCTAAAATCCTGCCCTCACTCTTCTTCTTTGTAAGTTTTTTATTTTGTTTTACTTTTACAGTGGCAAAGTTATCAGTGACTGTATACTCCAGGGTCCTAGTTTTCCAGTTTTTATAATCAATTCAACATTTGAGCCAATTGTCCATGCCAGACAGAATATCAGTATCACCCTTTTGCAATTTAGAATAGTAAAATCTCCATGGTTGAAAAAAGTGAAGTGATTGAGACTATAATTAGACCAGAAGATAATATATATATATATATATATAACATGAACAATCAGCAAATTTTAACTTACCATTTATAGATGGTATATCACCTTTTTTATATTTTTGGGTAAATTTTTTAAATAGAATATGTAATTTAAAATTTAAAAATATGGATAAATCATGTTTCAAAATTTACTTGAAACAAAGTAATATAATGCAATTTTAATTTGAAAAAATTGTAATGAAGTTTTTTTAAAAATAATTTCAACATTTTTTTTATAATACCATATTTCAAACATGACTTATAATAAATTTAAAAAAGTTATATTTCAAAACATAATTTATTTATAATTCATAATTTCTTTTAAAACCTATTTATTTATACATATTTTAAAAATTCCCTCGAAAAAGGTAAAAAGGGTTAAACTACATTATGGTATCTCTTTATGATATTAACCATTGATGTCTTTTTCTTTTATTTTGTTCTTTGGCATTAACTATCAGATTTCAAACTTTAGGATTTCAGGGGAAAAAAAAACTTGATAGATATTGGTCCATCCAGAGTACAATTATTCTTTTAATTTAAATTGATGTGATACATGTATCTGTGCCTAGGCCACCAAAATAGTTATCAATTTGAATGACTCATTTTTGCAATAATTTTATTTGGGTTAATTAATTCATTTTATACACATAATAACCCACCCACACTCTAACACAATTTTTAAAATTATTTAATTTTACTTATTATTTGGCAAAGGTGAAACATAGAAAAAAAAAAGGAAGATAGTGTGGGTTTTTAAAAAAATGAAGAAAAAATTAAGATTCACTTTTTTTTAGGGAAAGATGAAAAAATGAGCAAAAAAGAGGTTGTGTTTTACATCTTTCAGTTTTTGGAGAGTTTCTAATAGTAAAAAATTATTTAAATTTTTAATTATGCACAGTTTTTAAAAATAATGAAAAATATAAGTTCACCCTTAATCATGATTACTCAAATTTATAAAATATTAAAAACCTAAAACCATACATGGAATTAAAAATAATTGCTTATTTTCATAATGTTCACTTAAAAACTAACAAAAATAAGTGACTTTTTTTTTATGCTAAACCAAACATGCTTTTAATTGTAAAATAGGATAAAAAAAGACAAAAATCCAACTAAGCATGTATTATTTACATATTTGTTAAACTAAAGTTTGGATGAAGGTGACATGCTTTTAATCTTGTAACAAAGCAGGGATAAGTTCATTCTTGCAAGCATCTAGCATGGCTGAAACTGAATCACTCCACTTTCATGAGAAACAAGACCAAATAGAACCTATCTCAGGTTTATGCTAGAGTGAATAAATAACTAGATAAAAAGGAACCATTAGCACACACAGCACACATACTGTGAAGAGACAGAGTAATAAAAACAAAACAAAAAAAATCAAAATGGTGTGAGCCATGATTTGGTCACCTGAAAAAAATCTTAGGCAGAGATAAGATCTGTAGGCACCCAATTAAAAAGGCATTTTAGGAGTAGCTTATTAAAAAATGACAAGAATATGCATATTTTCATGCCCTTTTGTTTGGAGTGGAGGGAGCAATAAACCAGCCCAATCAAGTCCTTTTTCTTTCAACTCCTCCACCCTTTTGGTGGCCCTAAAACTGCTACAACTTTCTTTACTGATTTGAAAATCCATTTTGGTGTAGATAAGTAAATCAATAATGATAATATTAAATTAAAAGAATTCCTACACACGTCTGAATGTTATTTTATCATCATGCTCACTTTATTTGCCTTCTTTTTTTCTAAAATATAACCTTCTTTTCATATGATGTCAATTAAACCAGTAACACATCTGTATTGTGAGGAGCATGCTTTGTTGTGGACCCCTAACCAACAGTAGTCTCCTCTCAATTTTTTATTCCTCACAAATATTTTCAATGAAAAAAAAAACTCTGTAAGCATGCATCCTTCGTCACAAACCACCGCGAGAAAAAAAGAAAGAAAAAAAATTCTGTGCAAGGCACTGATATAGAATACCACGTACTATTTGGATATATATCCATCAATTTCAACACCTGTCATGTCATATATTCTACTCTATTGCATGTACATGTGTACTGTTTTCTCTTGTTTTGTTTTTTTTTTTTTCTTCTCTTCTTCCTTCGTCTGAAACCAGCATGGTTTCGGTCAAATCATTCTTCATGTTTAGTTATGAAATGCATAGAAAGTTATCGTTGAAAATGTCAAGTTTAAGGTCAGAAAACGCACATACATAATACGAAATTGTACCATAAAAATGCATATAATAATAAGACAAAAAAAATGTCCCATGCATTAAGCCGTTAACCAAATATTTATTTGTTTCGATCCCTATTTCTCTCGAGTTTCGGATAACTTCATGCATCGATGAACTTAAAATATACGTTTCTTCTTCTGTCCTTTTTAAAAAAAAAATGTATCTCCCAGAGTCAACTACAATATAGCAACACTATATATTCTCACGCTTTGGATGGAAAATGGTATCATTAAAAGTGTTGAAATTAAAGCACGTGTGAGGCAAAGAAAAATACGAAAAGAAAGTATGAGAAAAGAGAAAAAGAAAAATAAAGACGTGCTCTACAAGATTAAGGATTAAGAAAGAAAAGAAAGTGGTTTGTTTATGGCGCAGATAAACATGGTGATCCATGTTTTCAGCGACTAATGTTTCTATTTAGCACGTTCAACGCAACACTCTCCTTTCCCATCATTCCTACGTGGGTCACGATTAAATGGATTTAATATGCCAAAGTTAAAGCATACACGAGTAAAGAATCCCAAATTCATATAATTTGGTTGAACAAGAATGAATATTATCTTTAACAACTTTGACAATAAGAGTCATTATGACTTTTTTTTTTCTTCTACAAGCTTACCCGATACACGGGTCCATGATTATTTTGTAAAACAAAAATAGTTGCATATGAGAGAGCATTGGGTGCAGGAGGATGTGACACATGTGAGAGTGTGATTGACGACGTTAGAAAGTGTTTGTTTTCTTTCCTATACCTTTAAGCCTCCTTTCACACTCAAACAACACAGAAGGGAAGAATAGGTGAAGAAGAAAGAAAGAGAAGAGGTGGTATGTTTTTATGTTTTTTTTTGGGTTGGTTTGGTTTGCTTTTTAGAAGGGGCATTGCATTACATTACCCATTAAGATGATGCATTTGAGTATTGTGGGGTAGAGTGGGACATGAGACCATGGAGCCAATTTGGTTGTGGATTCTCCAACAAAAACATTCACGCTTGGAAAGCTAAAACAACCAACACCCTCTACATCCACCTCCCCCCACTAAAAAGCTTAGTGTGTTTTCCTTTTTTAAAATAGCCACAAACCAATGCAAAGTTAGACCAAAAGGCAAGGAGGAATCCGTGTCCCTTCCTCTCTTATTTTATATGCTAAATACCATCCACTTTCTTAGACTTTTATCCCACCCAATCTTTTTCTAATGTGCACATCTTCTTTCCCTTGCTTCATCACAACCTTCAATATAAAGGGTTAATTCAAAATGGGTGGATTAAGCAATTATGTCTTTAGGTTTCGTTAGGTGTAACATTTTGATCATCAATATACACGAGCATGTTAGATTGTGATTTTCACGATAATTTCACATTTCAACTATGTCCCCTTTTTGTTCAATAAGTTTATAATAATGTTGAAGGCTTTGAAAAAAGCATCTTTGCTTAAATTGGAGATGAACATATAGGAGTAGTGGTTGAAGATAATTGAGTTGTGGGAATGCATGTGTCCCTTAGATGCCAAGGAAAGAAATTATCGTTGATAATGCAAACATGCGATATTCAAGGCCATAACTTCACATCTCTTCCACCATGAGTGAGACATTGAAGTGGAGGGAGAGTTTTCCTTCGCGAGGGAATCATACGGTTTTTAAAATGTTTGAATACGAGGTGGTTCTAATCATGTCACTCCCAATGTCATTAGATTGATACACACTAGGAATCTATCTACTATTTTTGGCAAGTCACACCCATTTCAAACATGTCCTCTTCTATTTTAGCAAAAATAGTGTACATTTTTTTTTTTAATTTTGAAAGAAGAAACATGGCCATTTGTTTGCAATAATAGCACCAGAAAAAAATTAAGTTTAATTAATACAATCTTAAAATATAAATATTTATAAAATTGTCACTTTGACGATGCTTTAAACTTAAATAATTTAAGTTATGCAATAAATTAATAAGATTTAAAAAAAATAATTTTAAAAGTTGTATTTTAAATCTTGGATGTTTATTAACTTTAACATATTTTTTAACTGAGACAAATAATGACTTAATAACTTAATAAATATAAGTAAGGTATTTTAAAAAATGAGAATATTTCTGGTAGATTTTTCAAAACCTGATAGAATTTTGGGGGAGATGAGATTAGGTTTGCCTTTACCGTATTGGACAAAGAAAGGTCAACTTATATTTAATTTTGTCTGGTTCTCATGGCTAGCTTATATACATTAATAAGTAATATGGTACATAAAAGTCAAAGGCTCATCGTAATTTTGGTGGTGTATTTTATAAAATTTGTAATTTTGATCTTTATTTTTAAATATTACCTTTATTTTTAATTAAATTTTTTATTTATTAATTTTTAAATACACATAACTTTGTGTTCAATTTTCAATTCAAATTTTCATGATTCTTTAATTATTTAGACATGACACTCTGAAATTGGGAGATATATAGAGAGAGAGTGAAGAGAGAGAGAGCGAGTAGTAGCAGCGTAGATTTATTATCTAATGTAATTTTATAATGATTTAATATATTTTAAATTCCAACATTAAATAAATTATGAATATCTAAACATTAAGAAATCAAAATCACGTCAATAAATTCCAGATAATTAAAAATTAACACACTAAAATTGTAGGAAATACAAAATATAAAACTTCAATAATCACAATTATAAAATAACAAAATACAAATTAAATTAGTGTATTAAATGATACTAAAAAAATATATAACAAAATTATTGTTATAATATAATTTATCAACTCAATTCATAATAAAATTAATTGTCTCATCATAAATAAAACATCATATTAAATATTATACTTCTTACTTACTAATCTCTCATGTTATCTTTAAATAATAATAGATAATGTAAATTCTTAATATCTATATATTATCTTTAAATAATAGCGTGGATTATGATAAAGTGTGTGATAATATAATTCTTAATATTTATATATTATTAATGCATACATAAAAGTAAAACAAAATTGTATTAATTATAATTTTATATATTAATTAGATATTTTATTAAACTTTTCAACATATGTGCCTATCGGTCTTCTTGAAATTAAATCTCATTATTCATAAAACAATAATTAAGAATATTATTATTGGATTGTATTATTTATTCGATTATACATTAAATATATAAAATAATTAATAATTAACGTAGAAATTGATAATATCTTTTTAAAATTTTATATAATATATATACATTCAAAATTGTGTAAACATTAGAAACCATTTATATATATATATATATATATATATATATATATATATATATTACTCAATTATATTCATTAATATTTAATGAGACTATTTATATTTATATTTAGGGATATTAAGAAAGTTGTTATCCAATCTGAATTAGAACTATCAAGTAAAAAATAAAATAAAATAAAATGAATAATTAAATTTAATTTATATTTTAAAATAAAGTATAATGTGTTAATCTAGTCTAATAACATGTTAGACTAACGAATTAATTTGATTTAATTGAAAATAAAAAATTTAATATATTTATACTAAAATAATGAATTAAAAGAAATATTTAAATAAAATCTTTTTTTTTAATTTAAATTATATTAATAAAATTAATTTTTATTTAAGATATAATCATTTAATATATAAACTATAAAATAATAAATCTATTTAATTCAAAATAAAAAATTTATTATAATAATTTATTATTTATTATCATATTTTTTAAATATTTTATTAATTTAAAATAATAATTAATTTTAATTATTAGACTTTAAAATAAATGGTGGTTAAATATTTATTTTAATATTGTCTTTTATAATAATTACCAAATTTATTTAAAATATATATATATATATATATTAATAAAAATAATATCACTTTTATTTAAAAAATAATTTATTATTTTATAAAATAGAGGTCTATTAACATATAATTTTCGATTAAATTCAGATAAGTCATTATTTAAATAGATAAATCAAATTAAGTTTGATTTAATTTAACTTACAGATTTTTTATAAGTTACCCTATCCTATTTTTATCTTACAAATCAACCATTAAATAAAATTTATTTTTACACTTTCATCTCACAACTAATTAATTATTCATATAAATGTATTTAATTCAACACAAAACATTTATTTATGCGGACGATTTAACATATAAGTGTGTGTATAACTCAATTTAAGTTTTTACATATTCTGAATCGTTTAAGTGCATTTTAAGTAATTAACATTCTACTAAAATTATTCTAATTCTCCCTTCTTCTTTTTAACCATAAAATGCTATATCATTTAACGTGTCCTAAATGATATTTCAATGAGATTAAAGTTATAAATAACACATAAACTAATTTATCATATATTTTAAAAATAATGAGTTATTTATAATAAGATGTTTTATATTTTATATATAAATTTAGATTTATTTTCCTAATTTATATTAAACATTATGGATAATTATGTTTTGTATCAATAAATAATTAAAAAAAATAAGATTTATTATTAATTTAAAAATAATTTATACAGGGTAGTTAACATCACATACGAAGTTTGTAATTAATGTTGTAATTTGGTGGCGTTTGCATTTGAAAGTGAAATACAATAATGTGATTCTTGTTGCGGCAACGTTATTAAATTATGACAAAAGAAAGACAGAAGAGCAGAATTTTTAATTTAAAAAAGAGGAAGAAAATCTTTGAATTCCGACCACCATATCTAAGACACAGTTCGAAGCAGCAAACTTTGCGAAGAAAAAGTATCACACGCCACTTCATTAAACTTCTTAATTAAATACCAACACCTCTTCTTACATGTCTTAGTTCTTTCATATACATTAAAAAAATATATATCTTATTTGACATCAACGTGAAAAGTGAAATAAACAAAATGAAAGTTCCAATACCACCCTTACAAATGTCAATACACTATTCAAATTTTTCATTTTTATTATTTTTATCACTTAACACCTAATTCAACTTATAAAATAAACAATAGCCTAAAATAAGATGGGACCAACGAGGGATTTTAGTTGGTTAGCTCGTCGCTCATTCGTCAATCTAGGAAATTAAAAAGTGAAATGAGACTAACTAATCTGATTAAAAATAATATTTATATATTAAAAAATAACTATAATTAAAATATTATATATTTTTTATATTATTAAAATATTTAAATATATTATAATATTATAATTTAAATTATAAAAAATAATTAATAAAATTTAAATTATTGATTATAACAAGTTATTTTAAAATATAAATATAATAATTTTTTAATTTATCTAATAAAACTATTAATTAATAAATAAAAACCTAAAAATTATTTATATATATATATATATAGACAAATATTATTGGTGGCTTGTCCATCAATGGAACAGATAAAAAAAAAATATAAGCAGACTGATCCGTTTTGTCATCCTATTATTATTATTAAGTAAAATAAGTTGATAATAATTTGAGAATATTTTACAGTAATAATTATCTAAATTATAGTTTATTAATTGTAATGATAATCTAAATTATAATTTGTATTTTGTATATATTTATAATAAATAAAAAAGTAAATTACGGATTATTTTTAACATTATATAAGTTTTTCTTTTGAAAAAATTACTCGTCATTAAATTTTTTTAATTATTTATTTATAATTGACAATTCTAAATTTAACTATATCCTAATTGTTACAAACGTAAAACATCTTGTTATAATCACTTTTAACATGAAAATTAATATAATATTCAGACATTATTAGAATAAAAATAATATTTTTATTTTAATATCATGTAATTAAATGAATTCATTTTCATAGTACAAAATCAACTCCTAATTATGGATCAAATCTTTAGAATTATGCCAATTTAGATATAAAAAGGGATAAATATAGAACCACCCACAGTAATAGTAGCCAGTGGATTCGTACAAACAATACCATCCAATAATGTGGATATGATATGATGCTATTTTAGAGCACCATTATTACTAAATTGGGTGAGGTGTATTATCATCAAGAAATTGGGACATGCAACAACACAAATTAAACTCCTTTATAATTATTTCACTTTATAAAATATGGCTTAATATTTAAGCTGTAATTTAGAAAAGCTTAATATTTTATAACACAAAAATATATATAAGCTCATTTTATTTATGAAAATCTATTAGAGTCTGAATTTATTGCTAAATAAAACACACACAAAAATATAGTAGTACATAAATGTACTTTTCCCACTCAAACACTATTTAAAACAACACTTATAATGTGTGTCTATTTAGTACATGTAAACGTTTGATGTTGGGAAAAGTTAAATCTGAATATGTTATCACATATAAGTTAAAGTTACTTTTAATAGTTTATAGTTTTTACTTCGAAAAGGGGAATAAGATTTCAAACATTAAACCAAATATATACTTATATTTTATAATTGTGTTTTTTATGCCATTTCTTCTTCCAACCATATTTATCTAAAATAACAATATTTTTATAATATAAATAGGTTTTCAAAGCTTGCTTTTTGAAAAATTTTCATGTTGAAAATATTTTGAAATCAATTTTCCAAAAATATTTTGAAAGATTATTTCTAAAACATTTTGAAATAAAAAAAAATAATCCAAAAAAATTTCAAAAAATTAATTATAAAAACACAATTCAAAAATGAATTTTGGATTATATTTTTTTAAAAATATATTTCAGATTATTTAAATATATTTTAGATTTAATAACTTATAATATATTTCCGAAAATAAAATGGTTGAATTCTGAATATATTTTTAGAAAACACACTCTAAAAATAAGTTTCAAATTATTAAATTCATAATATATTTTTAAAAAATATATTTAAAAATAAGTTAAACAATATAAAAAATTATAAATAAAAATCAAATATATTCTTTTGGGGAAATTTTGTTTAGGCACGACATGTTATACTATTCAAAACATAAATCACTCATGATTTTCTAACCTAAATGAAAAAAAATGATTGAACGAAGGTGCAGGTGGTAGAATAATAATAAAAGAAAACAACAACTGGTATAAAGACATTTTACAAAGAGGAAACAGTTTTTTTTTTTATTGGTGTCAAGGAGTGTAATGAACTTGGGCCAACACTGGTTCTGCATATTTACATAAGTTGGGCAAATTTGGGCTCACTTCTTCTAACAAACGGATATCAACTAAGTGCGTCTGTTTGAAAAGCCCACGGACGAAAGAAAAGCCCACGAGCAAAGAAACCCTACACGGACAAGAGTTGAAACGTATAAAAATAAAAAAAAATGTTTAACTCATCTTTCTTTATATTTAAATTATATTTATTATCGACCGTGCATTTAATTACCTTGAAATTAGTAGCTTAATGACGAATTAGATAATTGTATCAAACATCCGAAGAGAAAAATTGACTATCTATAATATACAGAGAAAAATAAATAATATTCAAAGCCTACAGAAAATGTAGTTTCCATTGGCACGCACTTAAAAATAAATTACTTTCCTTATTTTTCTTTAACCACTCGTATACGAACAACTATTATGTGTTCTAGAAGTAATAATTTTTCTTTCCATGTGTTTTTGAATGCATGCTCCAATAATTATGTGTTAATAATAATAATAATAAACGAAAACATTGACTAAGAAACATGGAATATACTTTATTGTATACCTCTTTCATCTGCCAAAACTTAAAATTACAATTTAACACACAAATTGTTTAAATTTAATCTATTATTGTTTACAAATATCAGTTTCAAAAACAATGATATTTCGTAAACAAAATTAAATTTATGAAAAATACTTTGCATCTCCCTCTCTGTATATATAGTATATGTTAGAAAACCGAAAGAAATCAAACATAGTGTCTAAAAAAATGTGTGCAATGAATGTGAGCGCGTAGTGTGATGAATGGTGATTCATGCATGTTGTGGTTATGATTCAAGTTGTGTCCATTTATGGTAGCCTGCAATGGAAGAAAATAGTTTTTGTCTTTGTACATTTCTTTCTGGCCTACCCTTTGCTGCATGCGCGACACAACACACGACACAGGTTAAGTTTACCAATGACCTTATCAACAATAAAGCAACGTTGTTGTAACAGTGAAAGTGTTTCATTGAATTGCTAACAAAGCTTTTTTACAGTAAAGTAGGTTTTGTTTGGTGACACAGCAGTGACAGTAGTTTTATATATATAAGAATGATAATAATAAAAAGAAGAAGTGATTAAATAGAAATAAATAACGTAATAAAAGATAATGATCATATAAATAAAATATTCCCGCAAATTATAGTTTTTTTTTAGTTTATTTTTCTCTCCCATTTTAAAAGTAAAAAACAATTGAACAAATGGAAAACTCCCCAACTGTACTTACACATACAATACTCTAATAATGCTTATCCCCTCATTCTTCAGTTCCTTTGTTGTCTAGCTGCTGTTAAGAGATCTAAAATATTTTAACAGCTGGTGATTAATCACTTCATGCCAATAGCATGCAATGTATTAGACTGTTCACTTGATCACCCATCTTCCACTCATGACCCACCTCACCTTATATAGTTTTGGTATTTTTTCTTCTTTTTTTACACTAGGGTCTTTTTTTTTTTTTTGTTGACAGTAAAAAAATAATTTATTTCTAGCTATGTCTTGCTTCCTCATTTGGGTATGGATTTGAGGGGGGCAACTTCCATAAAACACACATAATGTCCATTTTTTGGAAAAGCATATCCTATGGAGGATGGAAAATTTCACAATCCACATCCCTCCAATAGCTCTGCTCCACAGGTTTTATTTAGCTTCCTCCTTTTAGCATCAGGAGTATTGTGTGAAGAATTAGCACATGAACCAGCATTTGTGTCATCACTTTTGTGGCTGAAGCACAAAGCATCTAACACACCTATTGGGCTTTGGGGTAGGCAAGAGACAGAAGCACTTGAATCCTTGACAGAGCCACTGTCGGATGACAACTCTTGGATCATTTTAATGCACTTCAATAGTCTCTCCTGCCAAAAACCAAATGACACAATGTTAATATCAATCAACTAAACCTCCATCAATAGAATTTATCATTGATTACAAGTAATCAACTACCGTAGTGTGTTCCTTTTTTTTAATGATGTAATTGGACCACCATGCTTACCTTTTCTACGTGTTGAATCAGAACAGAAATTGCTTTCTCTGTGTCAACAGGTTGGGTTTCCCCCATGACATTCATGGCCACTGCTGCTGCAATCTCTGATGGTTTGAATTCCAAGAACTCAATTCCTGCATTGAATCCACACCATCCAAATTACCATCACTAATTCCACCTATTCACAATTATTATCACAGCACAACAGATGAGCCACATTGAGAAAACAACCCCATTGTGCAATGAAGTGTGGGGAACGGACAGTACCTCTTGCAGTGTTTGATATCAGTTGGATAGATCGCATGACTAAAGACTTTAATGGACTTTGATCACCATTGATCTTGCAAAGGAAGTAATCAAGGAAGGTGAAAGGAGTGATTGCTTGCATTCTCCACTTCAATGTGCTCAGTACTAAAAGCTCCATTCTCTTTATAGTTTTAGCCTCAAATATAAACTTTGATTCACCCACCTGAATTAAAGACAACAAGATTAGCATTTAGCACATGCAAAAACTAATAATACATTGACTAGTGGGTACCAAACATTGAAAATAAAATATAAATACCTGTAAATCAAGACACACTGGAACTTCTGTCTCATCTACTTTGGCTGCCAGAGATAAACAGGCCACAGCCAACAATTGCATTGTCCAAACTCTTCCCTTCTGCGAGTGAGAAAAAACATCAGATCACAACCCGAAGACAATAAATAAAAAATCTTCTTTTCAATCCTCGACTTACTGGTAATTCATATGCAGAAAGGAACCGGTCCATGTAATTTATAGATAGATATCCGCAGAGTGGACCAAAACCGAAACGCGATCGGACCTAAAAAACAATAATATAGGTTCACTAATTAGATCATGCTAAAGACAATCGGATAAACACGAATAATAATCGGTTCAAGCCAAATCCAAGTTGTGATCCTAGCTTTGAACATCTTGAAACACATTTAACAAAGATTTTCATTGAATCGGCTTCAGAACATGCAAGTTAGGCCAAAAAAAGTACCAAGGGAATCATCAATTCATCATCAATCACTGAAATGTGAAAATTCAAACCAAATGCTCCGGAAAGATTCAGATTTATCTTCAGATTTAAGAATCGGCCCATTAATCTATCTTTCACAAGGAAAAAGACCAAAACCAGGATAGTTGAAAAAGATTAGAGCTTTGAGTGATTAAGAAAGAAGAAAAAGGAAAACTCTTGAACCCACCTTGTGAATCCAATCAATGGCCTCCCTTCTGGCACCGAAGTCTAAATTCCCAGTCTGAAGCCTATTCAAGTAAGGCACACCAGGCCAGAGTTGACACTCTCTTTCCACCATCATCGCCAAGCACTCATCACTCAGCAATGGCAACTCATCTGATTCATCAAAGTGGTGCCTCCGGGGACGCCACGTATCGTCGTACACCCCCATCATCGAACCCCCATAATGGCTCTCGTCGAAAACGGTGCTGTCCTCGGAGCAAAGGAGGCCCGAAACACAGTCAAAACTGGGTGCCATTGAAAGACCTCAAAAACCAAACTCAGCCAACCACCGTCTTGCTCCAAATTAACAAGAACGAATCTTTTTGTTCAGTGTAGGTGAGTGATGTGTTGAGTTTCTTTTACGAAAATTGTCAAAAGGAAGAAATGACAATCTGAGGAAATAAGAACAAAAGCACTATAGAGCCACGCAATCCTTTGTTTCTCTCGCACTCTCTTTCTCTCTCAACACTCAGCTGAAAAGAGTGCCGCAGGAGAGGCCCTTATGAAGGAAACGAACACCCCTTTTTAGGGTAAAAGGCAGAGAGAGAGGGTGAGAGTGGAGTTGGCCACAGAGGGGTCCTCCATAGTGTGAATTCTTCTATATGTTAAATCCATAAAAACCAACGCTAATTACCATTTTCAAATCTTCCACTGTAAATAAATACTACTATATCACCCACACTTCTTAATTAATGAAATATTAATTAAAAACAAATTCATTCATCTGTTAAAATTGAATAGAAAAACCAGTAAAGCAGATATGATAAACATACAAATACAATCTTTTTTTATAATTTTATATTTCCTCTATCTGTTTCTTACGCTACTGTTCTATCAAATTTGAATATAAATATCAATATTCCTTGGTGAATATTTATTAAAGAGACGTTGGGAGGCGAACCTGAATGTTAAAGACAAGAGTATTATATTATAAATATTAAATTTTTATTATTTACCAAACCAAGAACGTTACTCTGCCCAACCTGACAAAATTTACGCGCCTGCTGCAATTTATGTTATTACTAAAAATCAACCGCGAACGTAAATTTTAGCAGAACAACGTTGTTTAAAAATTCGAATGTTTCTTCCTAATTCATTCGAGCGCATTAAGAGAGAAAAATGTTAGGAGGAATTAAGAGTAAAATAGGATATGGGGTTGGTAATAGGAAGAAGAAGAACGTGGTATAAATGGAGAGGGAGGGTAATAAAGATAAAAGGAGAGAGAATAAGGGTTGATGCAGATTGTGTTGTTTTGTCCCGTGTCGACGCGTGTGCTTCGCTGACATTGGACTAAGACCCGAAGCGTCTGTTTCGTTCTCAAGTCACTTTTACGTACTACATACATACTACTACAACCTGTCATTTCCCTCCAATCTTACCCGCCAAATATCAACCTTTATCTAATTATTATACTATCAAACTTTTATTTCTTAATCAAAATTCATTTTATTCAAATAATATCAAATATATATTATGTTAAATCGTATTTCAATAAATCTTCGGTGGCTGTGGAAAAATGTGTTGACTTAGATACTTGGAATTATAAATCATGTGATCTTGATTTTTAATTAGGTCGTACAAATTATACTATTATTTCATTTTCAAAAACAAAAAAATCTATTAAGAACGGAAACTTTTAAAGTTTTTTAAATAAATTTTTAACCTTTTATTTATTTATTTATTAAAAAATTATAAAATATCCTTGATTTGTTCTACAAAACCATTTATTAGTATTAATGAAAGTTTTCTTAAATAAAATATTATTAAACTGCGTAAAATAAAATAATATTATATTTAATTAGAAATTATAAATAATTATGAAATATTAATTTGTTTTCTTATCGGATAAGTTTTTTGAGGATTGTGAGATGATTAAGGAGAGAGAGTGAGAGGAAGATGGGAATTGGGGTGGAGAGAAAGAAGCAGTAGGGTTAGGGGTTTGATGGGATCAGATGGAGTGTAGTGAAAGTGAGATGGAGGGAGAGAGAAAACTCAATTTTGTTATATTTTAATTATGGTCATGGATGATACTCATCATTATATATAAAAATATATATATTTTGTCATTTATATATTTAAATTGTATAATTTAAAAAAAATAACAAAAGAGATTATTGGATTTCATTTTAAATAATTTGTTATATTTCATAACGATAATAATATATTTTGCATTATAAGTAACAATATATTTAAATTTATCTTTATAATAAATATTTTTTTATGTACTTATTTATTATTATAGAGCAGGGCGGTGGTTTTTTTTAAGGCATTGAATGCATTGCACTTGAATCCTAGCACCCTTCACATGTGCCAATAATTTTATTTTTCTCGTAAAAAAAAAACTAAAATTTCCCTTTCAAAAAAAAAAACAAAAATATTTTTATTGGTGTGAAACAAAACAACAGAAAAAACTAAGGCCTGATATACACAAACAATGGGCATTGCATCAGCAAGTAATAATATTGGTCTAAGAACCAGAAACTCGAAGTAGAAAGCAAAGAAACCAAACATCTTAAATTTTGTAGTTAAATAATGATGGATTCATACTACATTTACTCATTAATTATTATAAATAAATATATATAGTATTTATTTAAAAATCTCAAAACCATGGTTTACAATAATTTGCAAGAGACATTGTTTTTATGCAACCATACTATGCTTGAAGCTTTCCCTAACAATACCAAACATGTGATGTGTGCTTAGTTGTTTAAAAAACGTTACACGCTTTTTGATTAAAAAAAGTTAAAGGTTATTTTTCTTTTATTTTAAAATGTCCATTGGGTTTATTTTTAACAAAAACTACATACTTATATGTTATGATTTTCCTTGTTTAATTATTAATTCTTTCATTATATTTATGCATTGTCAAAAAAAATTTAGTCGTATTTTTTAATATAGAGATAATTACGTTTGATAAAAGATATTTATAATTTTATTAAATAGATGACAAGGTATGTCTATATTTGTTTAATTTTATCATATTTTAAACATTTTAAAATGAATTTTATATTTTTTTATATAAAAATGATAGGTAACTTTAAATATATAAATTTAGATAAGATATATAATTTTCTCATTTATTAAAAAAAACTAGAAAAATATTAATTTTTGTAGTATAATTGCAGGATTGTGATAGTAATAAATTGGTTACATGTAGTAATATAATAATTAATAAAAAGGATAAATAGTTACAATCAATACTTTATTATTGTTATAAAGGTGATGTATATTATTCATTGTAACATAGGATAAAAAAAAATCCAACTATTTTTATTTTTATTTATTCGTTAAACTAAAGATTAGATCAACTCAATTTATATCTTAATTCCAGAAAAGTGAATCAATTATTGGACATGCTGATAAACAAAAAATAAATGTAATAAAATTAATTGTAGATCCATGAATAAATATTTTTATGTGGAAAGTTTTTCTAACAATAAATCCATACATGAAGATGAAAGACTTTTTATAATGTGAAAAGGAAAAAAATGTATAATGTTGATATGCACCAAATGAACACGTGATTAAAATGAGACGGAGAAATATCTTATAAATTATTTTTTACAAACAAACTACAATTATGTAAAATATTTGAAAAAAAAATCATCCCATATATAAAACGGTTCCACCTAATTTGAAAACAAATCACTAGAGCCTATTATACTAAAAAATCACCAAAATAGATTTAACATGTCAATTTCATAAATTAATTTTTGTTGGTAAAAAATAAAAACTAGCAGAAATAAGACTGGAGGCAGATATTTATTTTTCAAGACGAGGATTGTTTTTCATAGAATTTAAAAAAAAAAGGCACAATTTTTCAGCGGAGTTATAATATGTAGGCGAATCCAAAATTTTTTTGTTTAGAATTTAAAATTGTTAATTATAATTTGTAGGTTGAACACAATACATTAAGCGAAAGAGTAGTTTAAGGATGAGAAATACTGTTGGTGAGAAACAATGGTGTTGGTTATCTTTTATGTTTGTTCAGTGGCCAATTCATACAAATCGCAAAAAAGATGTACTTTTGCTCTTTTACTCACTTTTAGGATCTAACAATATTGGTTCGCAAGTACCAAGTTGTTGTTAGCATTGACCCTCTTGAGTAGGAGTGTAGGACCTCATCCTCCAAGTAACAAACAATCCCCAAAGGACCATTACAACAATGCCAATTACTGACTTCACAAACAAGTAATAATTGGTCGGCAATACATAATCACTACTAAAAATTACAAACCCTTTTCTAATTAGACGTGTAGTTTGGCTTAACCATGGTCCACGGGTAATCATAATTCACTGTTGCTAAAGTAGCCAATTTCAGTTTTCCATTGTAATGTAATTAATAGTGTTATAAGGATAGATGCATTCCTAGACAATTGCACATTGCATCTTTTCCATTGTAATGTGATATCATGTGTGTGGGTGTCTTTTTTGTTTGATAGAGAGAGAGGGGTGGGTGTGGGGGCTTGAACATGTTATTGAAATTTTCAAAGGTAGAGTTTTGAGTGTTGAGTATTGAGTATTGAGAATTGAGATGAAACCAATTTTGAAGATAAAGTTGGTCCAATCCAACGTGTTTTTGGTTTTGTATGATTCAGTCACTCAGATGCGCCTCGACTAGGCAATGCTCTTGCCCCTCCCAATAGTTTTTCATTTCAATATATATATATATATATATATATATATATATATATATATATATATATATATATATATATATGCTCTTTGATTATTGTTTGTGGGGAAAGTAATATTATTATTAATTTTTTCTTTTGCAGGCAAAACAATATCGTCCGTTGGGGTTTTCTACGACAAAGTACCAACACAAATATTTGAAATATAATATATAAATGTTTCATTTCATGAATTAAAAGTTGTCAATTCATGATTTTTGGAATGCAAGTGAATCAGCGTACTCCAATGATTGAACGCGAGTGTACTTCCAGCGAAAGGAAATTTGTAGAGCGCGCGAGCAATGCTGGCATTCGCGCCAGATCTTGAAATTTTCAGGCCTCTATTTTGTTTCTTATAATGAATCCAAATTCATATAATTAAATTTTAGGTATTTAATAGTCTATACTCATCATCATGTTTTAATTTAACATTAGTTACAGTTTTGTTTATTTTTGGCATGATTATATTTTATTGCGGGTAAAAACAATTAATCATGATAGTGACTTGTCAAATGTTGCGATCGAGTTCGTAAGGTGAACTGACTTTGGGCATATTTGATTTTCCATCATGCCTGAGTTAGGCCCGACTTAATTCGTTATCAGTTCTAACACGGAACTTTTAAATCAGGGTTGGATATTTAAGACAAATTAAAAATTATGAAAAACTGACTAAACTTAATTATGTGCTTGGGACAGATTAATTTAAGAAAAAAGTATCTTTTTTTTGGAGTTTATTTCAAATACTAAATTTCTAAATCAAAACGCACTCATAACTGATTACATATAACCATAAGAGAGAATATCAAAGCTTTCTTTTTGTTGATGTAAGACAACAGTGTTTTAGATCTTCAACTGTTCCAAATTGAAGTAGGTAGAGTAGAGAGTATGGGTTGTCGCTTTCTTTGAATCACACTTAAAAGATTTGTATTACTAAATAGAAGCTCATTTTTAATAAGACCACGATGTTTTTTGTTTTTTATTGGTTTGATGTAACATTAATCTCAAGCATTATGACTTTCACTAAGATCAAAGTATATTTTGATTATTTTTAAACTTTAACTGGAACAGTCCCTTAATGAAGCACTTCTAACAACCCATTTGCACTTCTTTCTTAATTTCCTCTGGAATGATTTCTTCAGCAAATTTGACTCTTACTATGATTTCTAGTCGAGAATCACGAATCACGATCACTCGTCAATGTTCTACGTGGAATTAGAAGGAACAGAAGGTGACAACGTTGAAAACTTCGACCAATAGTTACTCGAGATCCTCTCTTTAGTGTAAGAGTTGGAAAATTTACATAAGATCCCATCTTCACTGTTTTGTAGCCGTTTGACCATGTATCATCATTTTGGATGACTAATAATTAACAGAATGAATGGTGAAAATTTGAAATTGAATTGGACCACAAAACCATAGCAAGCTCGAGTTAATCAGTTTCACTTAGGATGCCAGTTTCTTGGATTCAACACATAACAACAGACGTGCCTAAACATGGATTTCTAAAAAGAGACTTTAGGACACAAATTTCTAACCCTTTTAATCTTTGAAATTCTCCTTTTTCTATATACTATCTGAATTTCAACTTTTTTTCTGCTTTTGCAGTTTCCCTCTCATGGTCGTGCACTACCAAAACACACACCCTTATTCTTATTCCATCTCTGCTTCACGCCAGTGTTTGTGCACATTTCAAAGCCTATATTCCCACCTTTTATTTTATTTTTTTAAGCCTCTCTTAGAGACAAGAGAGGATAATGCCCTCAAAGACTTTTCCTCATGGTTCAAATTCAAAAGAAAGTATTGTTCACTGTTTGAGATCCGAGCTTAACAGGGTGTCATTCACACCCACCCTTTGTTTTTTTTAACTCATCCCTTGCGGTAGTTTTACCTTTCTTTCTCTTGGTTTTCGTTATTTTCTTCTACATGCCCGAGGTAGAGTCAAATGTTGGTGCATATGATCACACATTGTTTTCAATTCTGATACACATATACATTAACAAAGACTTGATCCACTATCGTGCTAACCAACTCCTTCATGCTGATGTACACATAATTTTATGCTTATATTTGTTGTGCCTGCCTAGTTGCACATCGTGTGCAAAACTATTCTTTCTGCCAAAGGATACCGTTTTACGCTTTTGCCTTTGCTTATCTACGTGTTCACGTTCAAACATCACGTGGCTATTAATAAACTCTCTCATTTCAAAAGAAAACTCTGCATCTAAACTTGCCTCCATTTGTGGCATTGGATCCAAGTTGGTGTCACCAATTAATGAAAATTTTAAAAGCTTTCTATCATACCCATCAACCTTGTTTAAACTTCTCTCTCTCTCTCTCTCTCTATCTATCTATCTATATACATATATATATATATATATATATATATATATATATATATATATATATATATTCCTCACCATAGGATACGATACACGAGTTTATTCCTTACTTAACTATGGCTAATATAGCTAGCCAGCTCAATAATCGAAAATCATGCATTGCAATCCAACTTAATCATAATACATACGGTTGGAAAACAAGTGAGTGATACTTCACCTTATATAAAAACAAACAAGACAAGTGATATATAAAGAAAAAAGAAAAAGCATACAGATTTGTTGTTGAGGACTTTTGGATTGAAAATGATATTTTGTTATATATATATATATATATATATATATATATATATATATTTTTTTTTTTGATTCATATTCGATTGGTAAAAAATCTATATATATATATATATATATATATATATATATATATATATATATAGAGAGAGAGAGAGAGAGAGAGAGAGAATCTGCTTTAAAAATTAAACAGCTGGAATAAGTAGTAATTTTACAATTTATAAGGTGTAATTATGATTAAAAATGAATAAAGTTGTATTAAGATGATAATAGTAACAAAATAATGTACTTGAAAGCAAAATGCCAAATTTCATGGCACGAGAAAGTCAAGTGTTTTTTTATAGGATTTCTAGGCTTGACATGTTTGGCTTGATGAAAAAGGTAGAATATATTATTTAATTATTTATTTCGAACTCAAATTGCTATGTGATGCATATGGGTTGGATCACCGTGAATATGTGCATTATACACCCAAGGGAGGCTTGTGCAAGAAAAAATTATCATGATATGGTTTAGAATTAGCACGTTGGTGTTTCCAATTAGTATAAATAACACGATATGATGATATCTAAGCCCACGTAAATAAGCACTGTGATGAGTCTCATATTTTGGCCATCTTTTGCTTATAATATTAGCTAGCTGGGATTACACAGAATTTAATTTCCCATCTACGAACATAAATTAATTCCCGAATGTGGAAAGAAGCATGTCAACTGGGTGAGACAAATCGAATTTGTGTTCTTTAAACAAATCATTTCCAGCTATTCAAGCAAGTCGTTCAGATTCACCACCTCATTAAACTACTTACACACCAAAACCACAATTGCATCATCCCTTTATTAGATAGACGAATGTATATACTAATACTAAGATCAAACTAATTACAATGATTCTGATAAGTGCGTTTTTGTAGGAACTGGGTTATGTTATTCATTTTCTTACCATAGAAATAATGAAATAATGCAACCAAACCAATCCAACGCCGCGTAATGGCACTCACTGTCTAATGCCTCGTCCTCAGCTACAACGTCCACAACATATGCCGTATTTTCTGTGTCTCCACGAGAAACCCAAATCTTGATTCTTCCTCTACAAAAAAATTAGGTTAAAGATGGTACTATAAATTAGTGTCTGCTGATTAAGAAATTATTATCATAGCACATAGGTTTGTTTTTTTATTACTTATGGAAAAATAGGATCCCACGTGGACGAAGATTGGGTCCACGGTTCTCCCCTTCTCTCATGCATCTCGATTCTTTCCAAACAGTCATGTCCTTTTTCTTCGGCCTCGTATTTAAGTAATGGTAATCAGCAACATTCTTAATTCAAAATGAAAACTATCTTTTTCAATTTAACCGTCTTACGAAATAACCAATTGAGTTTAACATAGATACGAGGAAATTACTGTTTGATTAAAAGGAGACCACTTTAAACAATTGGATCAAAGTTACGAAGCACATAAATGTAACTTTGATAGTACGTAGTTACAACAATACGTGTCAATAATTTGAGATTTGTGTAAATTCATTCATTCATTCATTTATAGTGATAATTAAAAATATAATTTTCGTATCGCAACTTACTTTTGATCTGTGATTAAATATATGAAGTTAGTATAGAATGATGAGTTTTGTTGAAAAGTAATATTAAACAGGAATCCTTAAGATCGAAATTGCGAACAGAATTAGAAGGAACAGGTTTGGAGAAAGAGTAATGGAGGTGGCAAAGTGGTTTTGTCTTGGCTTAAGCATTGTCTTTATCGAAATCCGCAAGAAAATGGAAACAAGGAAAGGCATTTGGTGATCGGTGAGAGAGGGGTGGTTTGGTGCACACTCTGGCTATCTTATTTTTCTTGTCCCCTCCTCTTGTTCTTCATTATATAAACCTATAAACAACTAATCTCTATTATTTTGTGTGTATTAGTCAAATCCAATATTCATTCACCCGAAATAAATTATAAAAAAGTGAAAGGAAGATCCTCTGCCACATAGAAGAAACCAATTATAACGAGTTCTTAACTTTGTGTTTTTTCCAAGTAAATATGGGGTGCAGAAAGAAAGTAGAGTAGCGCATGAAAGAAGAAAGTGCCTTGATCAGGATGGGCCGAGTCTTGGGCTTAGGGATTGTTGTTTCTTTGGGCTTAGATGCAACGTTGTTTTGAGAAATAATTACCCAAGCATAGAGACAGGTGTCAGAAGAAGAGTATGATACGCAGCTTGTGAAGGTATGCAAGAGCGCATCAAGCAAGGGAGCAGGAGGGAGCTTGATAGAGACGCGCAGCAGCATATAAGACAGTTTCAATCCCCACTTCGCGAAATGGCTTCTACACTCTGCTCCTCTTCTTCTATTTGCACGTCATCCGCCCTTTTGTCATCCTCGACGCTACGACGTCGTTTGCCCCTCGTCGGGGCCTTTTGCATGCTCAGTTTGGGACTCTCCAATCTCTATACCCCCCTGTATTCCTCTGCCCTCAAAACGGGGTGCATTCTATCTCTCTTGCGGTATTCGCTGTTCCGACCTCATAACATAACCCACTTCCTCTTCTTTTCTCTCTCCATTGAGTTCAGTTCAATTGCCTCTGTTTCAGATCCAAATTGGGTGTCCGCAGCCACTCCACCATCAGAATGGAAGGAAATAACACCACTGTCCCGAGCATTGTTGTCTATGTCACTGTTCCCAACAAAGAAGCAGGTTCTAGCCTTGTCTAGGAACATGTTCGGTTAGTTCATTTTTTAATCCTCTCTTCGATTTCGACGCGTGTTGGTGGTTGTGCAGGTAAGAAGTTGGCTGAAAGCATCGTCACGGAGAAGCTTGCAGCTTGTGTGAACAGGGTACCGGGTGAGAATTTCCCTCTTGAGAACTGTTGTAATCACTCACATCACACTGCCCCTTGTATATCAGCGGTTTAAAATTAGTAATATCTGGGATGGGTTGGTGCTTAATATTCGGTTGTTGCAATAAAGTGCTTTTATAAATCATGTTACTTTTGTGATTTTGTCCCTGGATTGGAATTGATTGATAAAAATGGCCTCTGCATAACGATTAGACTAGTGAGAATGTATTGAGCTGTGATCCACCATCTTGAGTTAGACTTTTGTTTGATGAAATAGCAAGGTCCAGAATAAAAAAGCATCGCTTGTATTATGGCTTACTTTGTTTACATCCAGCAATATATAGACATGTCAGGCAAAGTTTGACAGCTTTCTTAATCCCCCTCTTTTTTTAGGTTTCATGTTCGCTTGAGTCTCTTAAACTGAATATGGTTCTACTATTTGACACTAGTTTCCCCAATTGGAAATGTTTTGAATTTTTATTTTTTAATTACTCCCTTTGTGAAGCACAATTGCTATAGTGTAACTTATATATTTACCTTCACGCATGGCCGGAACTTCTTTTTGCATTCTTAGTCATGCCCCCATGTAGGTAACCGAGACTTGAATGGATTCTACTACTTGACATATGTCTTCGCTTTGAGCTTAAATGCTTGTTTCACTTATGGTGTGTGCGGTACTGTGGAAAAGACTGATTTTGATATGGCATTGACTCTTGAGTCAATTTGTTTTGTCAATTCTCATAGAAGAAGAAAATTAATTGAATTAAGGAGGTAAAATGAATCAAACTTATCGCAAAAGTCAAAATTACAGTAAAACATCTCATCTTTTTCAGAAGCTCCCTCATTTGATTTCTTCATTAGTTGGCATACATAATTAATTTTTACTTATTATATTGATTCATTTTACCTTCTTGATATTTTTTATTTCTTTCTTATTTTAAGTGTTTGTTGAGAACTTTATCTAAATTAGCTTTATTTAAGTTGCATGCGTCATCCTACTTTTAAAAGCTGAATGAATAATGTCTTATGCAGGTATCGAATCAGTGTACCAGTGGGAGGGAAAGGTATAACTGCAATAACTCCTTTGACAAACAATGCTGTTTCAATACTAAATTGTTTTCTGGATTGGTGTTTGAATACTAAATTACTAATAGTAAAAGAAAATTGTTTTAATATGCTTTCATCTTCACATTAGAAGTGTGTCATTTCTGAAAGTTAAAAAATGAATATTAATATTAATGTCTCCATCATAGTAAGGTGTTGATTCAAGCGTGAGAGAGTTGACAATTTTTTTTTATTAGACACTTATGATTTGTTTGGTTAGGTGGGGATAAAAATAGAGATGAAAGAAAACACAGATAAAGATGTTCTTTCTTCTGTCTGGTTGAACAGAAAGTAGAAAAGAAAGGAAAAGAGAAGTTGACTTCTTGAAGCAAAATTAAATTCTAAATTTCTCCCTCCATCATCACTTTCTTTCCACCCAACCAAACATAGCATTAATGAAGAGTGTCCAACATGTATAAAATAAGTCAAGTGTCAAAAGCACATCTAACACCGTGACACTTGAACGCTCTTAAAAGTTTGCAAATTGACAGATCCAAATTGGTAGTGTTTAAAAACATTTTCATCATAGCATTGAAAGTTCTTATACTCTAGCATGCATTAAGGTCTTGTTTTATTTGAAACTATTGCAGTAGCCTGATTTTGCTAGACTATGTTGTAAATTGACAGATCCAAACTGATTCCGAGGAACTTCTTATAATCAAGACCAGGCAATCCCTTCTGGAGGCATTGACAGAGCATGTCAAAGCAAACCATGAATATGAGTAAGGCCAATACATACAGTAAATAATCTGCCCATAAAATTTAACTTTGCTTCATAGAATGTGACGTCTGCGTTGCATTCTTCTATTTGATCTTAAAAGAAAGCTTGGTGAAAGGAATTCTTAAACCATGTGTCTGCTATGATTCAAGAACTGGGCATTTAATCCATGTAAATGGACTGAGGTGTAATTATGGAAAACAATAGGGTGTTTTCACATGTTTCTTACCTCGTCCTTTTTCAGTGTGCCAGAGGTGATCTCCTTGCCCATCACTGGGGGAAATCTTAAATATTTAGAGTGGATTAAAGAGAGCACAAGGGAGTGAATATCAAGTTTATAGCCAGTGTTGGGGTTTCCAGAGTTCTTCTGCGCTTGTGTGTTAAATAAAGCCGGCATCTATGTAACTAGGCAATGAGAAAATTATGTAGAGGATGAGATCTATCTCGTCTTACTGCTAATGGCTGTAATGGGTTGAATATGATGTTATGTGAATAGACCTTTTCTTTGTGATTTTATTTGGCATTTTTGTTTCTTATTTTGTCCGATTCACGTGGTTCCTGGACCATCCATCTATCTGCTTGTGGGTTTCAAAATATTTCTTTTAAGTTTTGCTGCATAAATTACGTATTGGCATTCCATCCACAAAACAGTGAAGCTCCCCAGGTCAGGTGGCTTTGGCCTTTAAGTTTCGACTTTACAACACTCCTTGTAAAACTCATGCAATAGTGTTATCTCAAAAACCTTGTATTTAGGCATTTTTTTTACTGTATTTATAATTTATTGAAACATTACTGTAATCTGAATCCATTTTTTACATAAATCTTTTATACTCAGTTGAGAGTCTACAATAGGACCTCACAACATAGTTCACTTTGTATATAAAAATTTAGATTAATACACACCTATTATTATAGATCCAAACCATCCCAGTTTTATAATCTTGGCCATGTTTTTTTTGGATATAGGAATCAACATTCTTTGTTTTCGAATTTAAAATGTTCTTACTTAGATGATATTTGTGCGTTATGACTTGAACTCATGAATTTTGGATATTGAAACAGATCGTTTACGAATTTTGGATAGATTGAAACAGATCGTTTACGAATTTTGGATGGATTAAGACAGATCGTTCACTCATGAGCATGCTTGGAATTCATTACTTCTCCTTTTATCAGATCTAAGCTTCTGTTAGTTAGTTATATGCTAAAACATTGATCTATAATGTTTATTTATGTATTGACAAACATCATTTGGAAATTAAAACAGTTACATGGTGTTCCTACCTAAGTTTGTGAATGTAAAAAATGAATTTGTAAGATAAAACGGTTTATCTTATTTAAAGGCTTCTCTTTCTCATTTGTTGCGTACACTCTCAATCACATCAGTGAATATTGCCTTGCTGATTTTTCCCATTCAATATTTGATAGCCCAAATATTCACCAATTCAAATTAAGATATTAAAACAATTTAAACTTAAATTTAAATATTTTAAATTCTATTAATTTTTAAAATTTATAATATTTATCATTCAAACATAAGATTTTTTTTTAAATAATGATCTTCTATATTTATTCTTCTATATTTAGAAGATATCTTTTAATTATAACCACGAAACTACAATTTAACCTATTATAATTCTGATATACAAATATGAAGGACAGGACTGACGCAATAGTTGAAGTTTGCTTAAATGATCACTGCTCATACTTGCAGTAAGAATGCAAAGAACTACAGCAGTACCCGCATGACAGTGGAAGGAAAATATCTTTCAACTTCTGTATACCTCATGAAAGAAAAATATCTTCACTTAGTAAGCAAAAATGATAGGTTAAGCGGGCATTGCGCTAAATGGTGTGGATAGCCAATTCTCAACAAAATCATGCGTATATTTTGGCAGATTTGAAAGATAATGTCATTTGCTATATAGTAAATAAATTTGATATTTTATGTTCGCAAGCAAAATATCTGTCAGCATCATGCACCATTATGGCTGTAATGAAAAATGTTCTCTCCAAGAGAATAATGTTGCTACAACGACACTTCTAGTTTTCAGAGGACCACATGCTTGAATGGCGCCTGGCCCAAATTTTTTACGATAGGTCCCACTTAGGAGTTATGACCCTATGTGTTGTGGGACTATGCAAGTAACACAACTGTAGGTAAAGGGAAGATTTTGCAACAGATATAATTAATTGGATATCCCATTATACAGTATCCTTTCCAATTTCATATCATATGACACATAAAAAGAAGTCTGGTCTCTGTTCATACAAGCATTATATCACAGATTGCCAATCATTTTATAAAGTAGGGCGATTCTTAATTTAGCACAAAGAAATGACATTCAAAGCCCACCTCCATGAGAGGAAGAATACCACCCATCAACCTATAAGGGATATCAGGGCTCATCTAGCTGGTCCTGCAGGAAGATAAGTATAGTTCAACTCAGATTTTGATCTGAAAGGGACAATATTAGAAAGTGATAAAATATTCTGGAAAGGGCGGGTTTACATAGTGATATTTACCTGGACATCAGAAGTCCAAAGGGTGAGGTTGTCTCTTAAAAGCTGCATTATGAGCGTGCTGTCTTTGTAGGATTCTTCTCCCAAGGTGTCCAGCTCAGCAATTGCTTCCTCAAAAGCCTTTCAAACATGAAAACCAACACGATTAAGTGGATTTTAGAATCAACATAAAGACGTGCTCCTGTTGCAGCTACTCAAAACAGTGGATTCCAAGCATGAATGGCAAAATAAAGAGACAGAATATCAGAAAACAAGGAATCATGTAAGCCATGTAAGCCCATATGGATAAGCCTGGACTGCTAAAAGACAAATTGAAGTGTATTTTTCCAGGGGAGAAAATCACATTTTCGGTTAAAGTTAACAGCACTTCCAGGTCATCGAGTTTAGTACACAACTAATTAACTATATTTTACAATTCAATAAAAAAAATACAAATTTATTGCATATGAATAATCAAAACTTTCCAACAAAACATCAACTTCATTTTTATTTTGTGACAAAATCCCCATTTGGCTGCAACTGAACAGAAAAATTAACAGTTTGCTTTAGGACCAGATATTGCAATGAGGTTAACCATGATACATTGCGGATGACAAATAACATTTTATCACTGAACAAAAAAAAAAAAATTATGAACCAAACAAATGAATTTTTGTTGATTTGCTTCGGATCGTAGGCTCACTATTTCTCTTAGTCGTTCAATTCAAGTGAGAAACCTACCCAGCTTCATGACCAAAAGCTTTGCAAATGCTTGGTAGCCAAAATTTGGCAGTTAGACTGCTATGAAATTTATTGCTCACCTACCTCAACAACCATGAGTACATATATATAGGTAAGAACCACGATCTGTGTTAGCAACCTTTTTCTGGCTTCCAACAAGTACAGAATTACGTGTAAATTGAAATCCTCGATAAATTCAAGGAAACAGATTGTTATAACAAGCCAAACAAGAGAAATTCACAAAATCACCCATCTTCTGACAAGATACGTCTACTCAACACACGGCATATACAAAGTCAAACAGAATTCCAGGTAGTCAAAATACTTCAAACATACCAGCAAAGATATAAAAAAAAATAAAACTGATTTTTCCAAAAATGTTATATGGAAGGGGAATCTCACAGGAAAGTAAAATGAATTGATTAGGAGAAAGTCTGAAACGTTGAAATCAAGTTGACCTGAAAATTTCAATGTAACAAATCCTTATTAACCCTGACCTGTTTAGCCATGGCACAGGCTTTATCAGACTGGTTGAGGATTTCATAGTAGAAAACTGAGAAATTAAGAGCAAGACCCAGTCTTATAGGATGAGTAGGTGGAAGATCAGCATAAGCAATGTCCTAACAACAGCAACAACCATCAAATGTCATTGAAAACGGTAAAATAACAATGATTAAAAACGGAAAGAGAGAGAGAGAGAGAGAGAGAGAGAGAGAAAAGGGGGAACTTGATTACCTGGGCAGCCTTGTAAGACAACATGGTATCCTCAGCAGCGGTTTTTCGTTCATCCCCAATCTTAAATTCAGCCAGATAGCGGTGATAATCGCCCTTCATCTTCAAATAGAAGACCTTGGACTCGGTGGCGGAGGCAGAGGGGACGAGGTTGGAGTCCAAGAGGTTGAGGATGCTGGCGCACACGTTCGAGAGCTCCGTCTCCACCTTGGATCTGTAGTGCTTCACCAGCTCCACGTGCTCCTCGTTCTTGCGACCCTCTTCCTTCTGCTCGATGGAGGAGACAATCCGCCACGCCGCACGCAGGGACCCGATGACGTTCTTGTAAGCGACCGAGAAGAGGTTGCGCTCCTCCACGCTCAGCTCCGACGCCGGCGTCCACCCCACCACCACCTTCTGCATGAACTCCACCATCTCCTCGTACCGCTCCGCCTGCTCCGACAGCTTTGCCAAGTACACGTACTGTTCTCTGCTTAGTCCTTCCGCCATTCTCTTCTCTCTATCTCTTCGCTTCTGATTGCAATTGCGACCAACTACAAGTAGGGGAACGAATGAAAAAAAGACAGAAGAATAAAATAGACCTGTAACTGTAGCTGCTAAGCTATTGCTGTTGAAACGAGACGGAATTAATAGATTTTATTAATAAACAAACAAAAAAAACTTCGAAGGTGATTGAGTTCAGACATGGCGTGTGTAGGATTGAGCTGTCTCTCCCACCCGTTCTGAGTTGGATTTCGATTCACTTTTTTCTTTTTATAAAACCCGTTAGGTCTCCTTCTTGGGCCTCGCCTCATGCGGAAACTTCAGCCCATTCAGTTTGGGCCTCAAATTTATTCCGTAGGCCCTTTTTCCCTTCATGGTAGCATGTATGAATAAGGTGCTTCTCATGCTTATGGCTCCCGAAGCTACTTCCAAAATGCGACGAACTTGTGCAGTAGAATCATCAAAATTTATCAAATTCTCACCAATTTCTCAATCATCGTCGCTCGCATGGATATCTCCTCTCAAATTCACCAAACCCGCACAACCCAAACCGGACCCTCCCCCGGCAACCGCCACCGAACCTCCGAGGAAGCGAAAGTTCATCTCTCACGACGCCGCCATCGACCTGATAAAACGCGAGAAGGACCCGCAGCACGCCTTGAAGATATTCAACATGGTTTCACAACAGAACGGGTTTTACCACAACAACGCTACCTACGCCACCATTCTCGAAAAACTCGCTCGCTGCAACAAGTTTCAGGCCGTGGATCGAGTCCTCCACCAAATGACCTACGAAACCTGCAAATTCCATGAGGGTATTTTCGTCAACCTCATGAACCATTTCTCCAAGTCCTCCCTTCACGACAAAGTGCTCCACGCGTTTTTCTCCATTCAACCAATCGTCAGGGACAAACCCTCCCCCAAAGCCCTCTCCACTTGCCTCAACCTTTTGCTCGATTCGAACCGCGTCGATTTGGCGCGAAAATTGCTCTTGCATGCCAAACGCGGTCTAACGCACAAGCCAAACGTTTGCATATTCAACATCCTTGTGAAGTATCACTGCAAGAATGGGGATCTTGAATCTGCTTTTCAAGTTGTAGAGGAAATGAGAAACTCTCAGTTTTCTTACCCTAATTTAGTTACTTACTCGACCCTTATGGATGGACTCTGTCGAAATGGAAGACTTAGAGAAGCCTTTCAACTATTTGAGGAAATGCTTTCCAGGGATCACATTGTGCCTGATCCTCTCACTTACAATGTTTTGATCAATGGATTTTGCCGTGGAGGGAATCCTGACCGCGCTAGAAATTTGATTGAGTTTATGAAGAGTAATGGATGTTATCCAAATGTGTATAATTATTCATCATTGGTGAATGGTTTGTGTAAAGTCGGGAAATTGCAAGATGCAAAAGGGGTTTTGGCTGAGATGAAGAACTCTGGTTTGAAACCGGATACGGTTACGTACACTAGTTTGATCAATTACTTGTGTAGGAATGGGCATGTTGGTGAAGCTATTGAGTTGCTTGAAGAAATGAAGGAGAATGGGATTCAAGCTGACACTGTTACGTTCAATGTGATACTTGGGGGGTTATGCAGAGATGGTAGATTTGAGGAGGCTCTGGACATGCTTGAGAAACTTCCACAGCAGGGTGTGTATTTGAATAAAGGTAGTTACAGGATTGTTTTGAATTCCTTGACCCAAAAATGTGAGTTGAAAAAGGCAAAGGAGTTGTTGGGGTTAATGGTAAGTAGGGGTTTTCTGCCCCATTATGCTACTTCAAATGAATTGTTGGTTTGTCTTTGTGAGGGGGGGATGGCCGATGATGCTGCCAGGGCACTATTTGATTTGGTGGAGATGGGGTTTCAGCCAGCACTTGAGGCTTGGGAAGTTTTAATTAGGTTAATTTGCAGAGACAGGAAGTTGTTGTATGTTTTTGAGCTGCTTGATGAATTGGTGGTCACAAATACCTGAAATTTATTTGTAAAGTAATGATTTTCGGAGGGGCAACTGGTGCTCAGAATCTTTAGTTCGATGGAAAGGATGATGTTGAAGTTTTCTGTTCAGAAAGTAATAGCAATGCGATTGATGAAGTTAAAATGTGTCAAGACATTTTCTGTGTCGAGATTTTGCATTTTTTTGTTTGACTATGATGCTCACATTAGTGCATGAAAGATGTTTTTTGACTTGAAATTTCAATTATCTTTAGAGTGGATGTACCCCGGAAACTAGAAATGGTTGGTTGGAAGTGCAGAAGGCCTTTCGTGAAGCAGGCTTGGATTTCCCGAAAGAGGTTTAATCTCAGGCTTACACTTTTTTTTTTTAATTTCCCCATATTATAATACACTACTATGTTTGAAACAGAAGTGCAGATACTAGATATTACTATGATGCTAGAAATGATAGTTTTATGAGGTTGTAAAAACTACTTGTATCTGGATTGGTCTGCAGTTACCAGGATGAAGATTCTCAAAATTTCAATTTTCTGTCTCCTATGCTTACTATTTTGATAGATTTGCTTACACTGTTCAGCAATAGCTCAAACTTCCGGAGTTAACTTGTATTCTTTTTTCCTAAAGTTGTGGGGAAATTAGAATGCTGTTTGACACTGCGTCACTTGCACATCTGCTTTCTGTTCTGTTTCAGTTTTTTGAAATTATTACAATTTGCTATGTAGGCTATTATAATACAGGGTGTTGCTATAAGACAAGAAAATTCCTTGTTGGATAACACTGCCAGAATTGAAGGTTGGATAGCTAGATTTCCTATGTTTGATTGGGTGGGAGGGGTAGAACGTCAGAGATGTCTGCAGTTGGCCTACTTCCAGCAGCCCTTGCGGTAAGTGGCCATAAATGTAGATTCATTGTTGATGTTTATATATTCGATATTTTGTGTTTTCTTATAACTTTTTCTAATTTAGGGCATTGATATCAGAGAAATACTTGCTGGTGCATCTTTGATGGATGAGGCAAATAGAGGTGGTATACATCAATTTTTAATCATCTTTTTTCTTGTTGCTGTTATTCCATCTAAATATTACTTTCAGAGTTGTGCACATGTAGTTGAGTGATTTTCAGGTATGATATGCTATGCATGAGTTGTGTTCAATACACATAGAGCTTGTTCGTACTTATTGACTTGCCAATAACCCAGCAGCTCTGCTTGCTTTATGTTGGTATTAGGCTACAGAAGGTGTAGGATCCAAGGTGGGATTATGATCTATTAGCCTCTGTCTTCTGTGTTATTTGACTATTTCTCATTGTTATGGGGTATGTTTTATTCTCATGTGATTCAAATCTAAATATCATTTCTGTGCTCTGTCCTGCATTTTTGGGATCATTTTTATGTCTCTATTAGTGAAGTTCACAGTAGTGCCCGTGTCAAGAAGTAGCCTAATGAGCCCCCTTTTAGTCACATCTGACATGACTAGCTTGAACAGACATTGTTAACAATTGATCTTATTTTTCCTATAATAGTGGATCTTCTATGCTGTTATATAACATTTACTGTGCTTAGATCCCTCACGAGTTAATGATATCCCAGAATCTATATTTAGGATTTTACAGGTTAATTAAGGAATTAGTGTCTATGGAAATAAGGGAAGCTCAGATGAAGACGCGTGTGTTTTCATAGTTATTTTTGTAAGTACAGTTTAATGATTACTGTCTACTAAGCCTTTACCCCATTGCAGCTGTATCCCCCAATTGAGGATGGCAACGCTGGCGCGTACCAATGCGGGCTCTTGTTGAACGGGATGGAAATTTCAGTTCGCATAGATGAACAACACGATCACTTGTTTAATCAATTCTCTATTTATTTGAAGTTATTATAAATTATAATGTAATATTTTATTATTATTATTATTATTTTATATTTCATTATTGATCTCTTCTATTCTCTCACACTTTACTAGGCATTCTTCTCATATTTGCACGCATAATCTTTTTTTTTAAATAATTTAGATTAAATCAACATGAATCTCATAGTTGGATAATGATAACTTTGTTATTAAAGTTTCAGTAGTATAATTATCAATTAACTGATAAATTGTGTAATTAACAGTTTAATTAAATATATAATAATATAGTAAATAACTAAATTAAATAAACACAATTTGTTCGGCTCAGGCCTATATTTTACCCGTCGCCCTGATCTACTACAATGAGGTGTACCGTCTCGCGTTCATGGGTTATTTATATTTTATATGGATGTAATTTATAATAAATAAATATTTTGAATATATAAGTATTTTTACTAATTAAAATTTATAAACATGTAGTCATTTTGGTCCTTCAATAACACAAATTGAGATAAATTTGATCTGATTACAAGATAAGTATGGCTATTTTGAAGTGTAGTAATTAGTTTTCTTATTCCTAGTGTGGTAATTATTGGTTGGATATTTATTCATTTTTCTTAAGTTATGAATAATATTTCTAACTTTAAATTTATGAAAGTATTAATTATGAATATTTGTTTCGGATATATAAGATTAATGATAGTAATAACAAATGCCTAAATTATGCTTTAAAATTACAATAAATAATTTATATTATGGTGTAAAACTAAATTTTAAAAAATAGGTTAGCATGTGTAATGCACAAAATAAATGTTTTTTAGCTAAAAGTTATAATAAAATATTTTGAAATAAATTATACTTTATATTCATCATAAATAATTATATTAGAATATAATATTAATTTAACTATTGATTTATTTAAAAAATGTAAAATTCAATTTAGAATTACAAGATTGAAAAATTATTGATAAAAATAATAAAAAAATGGAACTGAAATAAAGAAGAAAGTTAATTGTTGCAAATAAAGGTATGAATGGAAACACGATGCATGCTAGAAGGAAAGAAAGGAGTTTCGTGCTCTCGCAATCTCACCCGTGATAGAGATCATCATTTTCCAGTTCGCTAAAAAAAGGAAGAAAAAAAACATTACATAATAGAAGCCAAATTATATATAAAAAAAATGTTATATTTTCCCATAGGAGAAGAATGAATTTATGATCGCCTGATTTGAAAACATTTGACGTCATAATTTGAAAATAATAATTAGCGATTCGTATTATAACAGATATGAAAGTAATCGTTTGGATCATAGGAAGTGTGAGTGAAAAGGTTGGTAATTCAGAGAAGTGAACAAAATTCATTTAGCTCCTGGGGCCAACAGAGTAGAGACACATTGTTTGACTTGCTTCAATGTCATAGCAAGTGGCGCTACACTACCTACCAACCGGCGCGTGAGTAGGGTGAATATCACAAAGAAAGCACAAACAACTTTCAACTTCAACAACGCTCTCTTCTCCACCAACACTTCTTTCTCCAACAACACTTCTTTCTTCCCTTCTTCCAGATGTCATGCTCTTAGCAACCTTTACGTAAACCCTTGCTTTCAACTTTCAACATCCATCCCAAAACTATGGCAGCATCAATCTCAGGCATTTACACCTCTTCCCCCTCTCTCAAAAAATTCTCAAACCAATCTCCACCGTTGACCCATCCTCTCCGCAAAGATCACGTCTCCTTCCCCGCGCGCCGCGCAGATCGCACCCTCAGCCTCGCGTCGCCCGGCGCGTTGGCTCGGGAGGTTTCCCATGGGGCGGCGGTGGCGGCGAAGGGTCTGGAGAAAGATCCGCGTGCGCTGTGGCGGAGGTACGTGGATTGGCTGTACCAGCATAAAGAACTGGGTCTCTACTTGGACGTGAGTCGGGTCGGGTTCACGGACGAGTACGTTGCGGAAATGGAGCCCCGTTTTGAAGCGGCGTTTAAGGCAATGGATGAGTTGGAGAAGGGTGCGATCGCGAATCCCGATGAGGGTCGCATGGTGGGACACTATTGGCTGAGGGACCCTAAGCGCGCGCCCAGCTCATTCCTTAAGACGCAGATTGAGAACACTCTGGATGCTATTTCCAAGTTCGCTAACGACGTCGTTAGTGGTAAGGTCAGTTGAGTAGCTTCTCTTTCTTTTCTTTCTTTTTGTATCTGAAGTTTCTTGGAATTTATTAAGGTGTTAAGATCTTGGTTATTAATGTACTTTGGCAGATAAAGCCTCCTTCGTCCCCGGAAGGTCGATTTACTCAAATACTGTCAGTGGGGATTGGAGGTTCTGCTCTAGGACCACAGTTTGTTGCAGAGGCATTGGCTCCTGATAATCCTCCGCTCAAGGTATCTATTTCTATTCTTAGAGAAATTATTTCATGGTCCGAGAAATTATTTAGCTGACTTGTAGTCAAAGTGTTGTTGAATTTTGATTCTTTCTCGTAAAGCTTAACTATGTACTGTCACATAACAATTGGTTGGAAACTTTGATACTTGGTGGTCTAGTCTCATAATTTTTTCACTTGAGAAATTATTAATACCGAACTGCAAGAATGAGTAATGCAAGGAAATTTACTCCTCGTTCGTGAATTTGGTTATTTCATTTCTCGCAAGCATTTAATGATGGTCTTGCCATCTTCCGCTTATCTTCCACAGATAAGATTTGTTGACAACACGGATCCTGCTGGAATTGATCATCAGATTGCGCAGCTTGGGCCTGAGCTAGCTTCAACACTTGTGATTGTGATTTCAAAGGTTTGTGTGGACATCATGCATTTTTTGTTTCACGATGATGCTCACATCAGTGCATGAAAGATGTTTTTGTCTTACAAATTTCAATTATCTTTAGAGTGGAGGTACCCCAGAGACTAGAAATGGTTTGTTGGAAGTGCAGAAGGCCTTTCGTGAAGCAGGCTTGGATTTTCCGAAACAGGTCTAATCTCAGGTTTTACCTTTTTTTATATATTTCTTATTTCCCCATATTATATAATACACTACTATGTTTGAAACAGAAATTCAGATACTAGATAGTATTATGGTGCAACAATCATGAAAGTTTTATGAGGTTGAAAAATCTACTTGTATCTTGATTGATCTGCATTTACCTTAAGAATAATTATTTTAGGAATTATGAAATCTTAGATTGCTTTGATGTATCACATAAATTCTTTGTAAAAATAAAAAAGAATTTACTTCAGGTGAAACAAAATATCTCTTATTTTGTCCTGGAATCATTTTTTTTTTTTTTCTGAGGTAATGTTGTTATATTGCTTTGCTTTGAACGGTATACTATTCTTTTGAATCTGGTATCAACTAGTATCATTGAAGATTCTCAAAATTTCAATTTTTTGGTCTCCTGTACTTTCATAGATTAGCTTACACTATCCAGCAATAGCTCAAACTTCTGGAGTTACATAGGATTTCCCCTTTTTTCCTAATGTTGGGAAAATTTAAATGCTGTTGGCCCTGCATCACTTGCACATCTGCTGTCAGTTCAGTTTCAGTTTTTGGAAATTGTTACAATTTGCTAATGTATGCTATAATACAGGGTGTTGCTATAACACAAGAAAATTCTTTGTTGGATAACACTGCCAGAATTGAAGGCTGGTTAGCTAGATTTCCTATGTTTGATTGGGTAGGAGGTAGAACGTCAGAGATGTCTGCAGTTGGCCTGCTTCCAGCAGCTCTTCAGGTAAGTGGCATAAATGTAAATTCATCGGTTATATTTATATATCTAATATTTTGTGTTTTCTTATAATTCTTTTCAATTTAGGGCATTGATATCAGAGAAATGCTTGCTGGTGCATCATTGATGGATGAGGCAAATAGAAGTACTGCGGTATACATCAATTTTAATAATCTTTTTTCTTCTTGTTATTCTATCTAAATATTACTTTCAGAGTGTTGCGCACATGTAATTGAGTGATTTTCATGTATGATAATGCATGAGTTGTTCCATACATAGAGCTTGTTCGTACCCAATGACTTGCCAATGCCAAACTGTTAAATCCTATTGATGCTTCATGTGACAAATACATGTATATGTTGCTTGAGTTTGAAGTTTGTGGAAATAGGCGTGAAACTAGTTACAACACTGATTTGGATATGCATTTGTGCAGTTAAGGAATAACCCTGCAGCTCTGCTGGCTTTATGTTGGTATTGGGCTACAGATGGTGTAGGATCCAAGGTGGGAATTATGATTTATTAGCAGCTATCTTCTATTTTATTTGACTATTTCTCATTGTTTACTTTTTCTCCTTATTCTGTAGGATATGGTTATTCTTCCATACAAGGACAGCCTGTTATTATTCAGTAGATACTTGCAGCAGCTGGTCATGGAATCTCTAGGCAAGGAGTTTGACTTGGATGGTAATCGGGTATGTCTTATTATTCTTATGTGCATCAAATCTAAATAACATTGCTCTGTTGTGTCCTGCATTTTTGGGTTAATTTTTATGCCTTAGTGAAGTTCACAGTTGTGCCCGCTATGGTCTGTTATTTTTAATTCTTGACTTGTGTTGGTGTTATTTGTATGTTGTCATACTTTCATGTGGAGTCCCATTTAGTCATATCTGACATGACTAACTTGGCCTGACATTGTTAACAATTGATCATATTTTTCCTATAACAGTGGATCTTGCATGCTGTTATATCACATTTACTGTGTTTAGATCCCTCACGAGTTAATGATATATCAGAAACTATGTTTTGGGTGTTACAGGTTAATCAAGGAATTAGTGTCTATGGAAATAAAGGAAGCACAGATCAACACGCGTGAGTTTTCATACTTATTTTGTTAAGTATAGTCTTTTCATTACTGCCTACTAATCCTTTACCCCCTTGCAGCTACATCCAACAATTGAGGGAGGGTGTACACAATTTCTTTGTGACATTCATTGAGGTGCTACGTGATAGACCCCCAGGTCATGATTGGGAACTTGAACCTGGTGTCACTTGTGGTGACTACTTGTTCGGTATGCTACAGGTATTACTACTAATTGACCATAATTTCCTACTGAATTTGATAGTTTTTGGTTAAGACTGTTGTTAGGTTGTCTTCCCCTTCATGCTAAAATTGGAGTTTCTATAGGGAACAAGGTCAGCTCTGTATGCTAATGACAGGGAGTCCATCACAGTTTCTGTACAAGAAGTGACATCAAGAACAGTTGGTGCTCTTATTGCCCTCTATGAACGAGCAGTTGGAATTTATGCCTCCCTTGTCAACATAAATGCTTATCATCAACCTGGTGAAATATAATTTATTTAACCTTGTCTTAGAAGTTTCTCTATTTCTGATAAGAATTCTTTGACAATGTCTGAATTTATTGGGATTTATTGATTAATGTTTTGAAATTTTGAGTCAAGGAAACTGAATTTAAATGTGGAAGTGTACTATGATGCTTGTTTTACCATTCAGCCACATCCAAGTCTGAACTACGTAATTGTTTAGGTGTGGAAGCTGGTAAGAAAGCGGCTGGTGAAGTACTGGCACTTCAGAAGCGAGTGTTGGCAGTGCTAAATGAAGCAAGGTATGATGTTTTTTAAGTACCAAGGTTCCTTCTGTCTTGGCTGGGGTTATTTCGAGCATAGCCCCTGCCCTCCGATTCTTGTGAAAGTTAGTTCAGAAGAGTTGTTTTCAGTGGATTTGATTTTCCTGTCAGTAAGATGTGTGGGCCTGGCCCCTCTGGTCTTGTTATAGTGAGCACGAACGGCCATCCCACTGAAAATATTTGCAATTATTTGTGAAGGATAATAATCAAAGGGCCAATATGTGTCTAGAATATGGACTGGCTGTGTGTTTTTGCATCCTTGTTAACATGAGGTCTATCACTAGATAATATCTTGTTATATGTTTCTGTTTTTAGCTGTAAAGATCCCATTGAACCATTGACACTTGAAGAAGTAGCTGACCGTTGCCATGCTCCTGAAGATGTAAATATATGATTCCTCCTTTACCCTTTTTATTAAGAATCATTGGAGAAGTTCAATAACATTTTTCACGTATATGCAGATTGAAATGATTTACAAGATTATCGCGCACATGGCCGCCAATGACAGAGCACTAATTGCCGAAGGCAGCTGTGGATCGCCTCGTAGCATCAAGGTTTTTCTTGGGGAATGTAACATTGATGAATCGTATGCTTGAGTTAGACCAACGAAATTTATAGTGTTTTATAGTTGTTGGGTTTGAATACGGATCATTAGAAGAGATGTTGCCTGCAATAATTTAGTTCCAATGTTGAATCTCCACCATTATCGGAAGTGGAGATTTCTGTTAAGACATTTTTGAAAGTGTTGAGTTTTGTTGTTCTGAATTGGAACTACGTGTAACCAAATGGAGAACCCAGATTGAATGAATAAATGGTTATTTTTGCTGCCTACGTTGTTAGTGATGGAATTCGGGCAGCTGTTTAATGCAACCAGCTAGTCAGTAACAAGATTAAAACATTGTGTAAACAGTATCAGTAGCTGGTTATGCAGACTTAGAGGCTTGATCTGGAAAAAAATTATATTGTTATTCAATTATAGATTACCATTGAAATGAATTTAAGGTATGTATTACAATACATCATAGTATGCAAAACTATTTTATATATGACAGTTTTATTCTGATACGGCATTATAGAATGATCCGGTACAGAAGATCCGCCAGATTCACCATGAAATAGTTAGCCTCATTATTACAAACGCACCCCATGGTCAGTGTATCAAACATAATATTCAGATCAACAACCTATGCCCATGGCACCTGAACAGACAAAAAATCAAACCGCGCCGCAATCCACCACCGAAAAGGTCGACCTTCACGGAAATAATATTCTGACATAATTTTAGACATAAAATTTTGCGTTGAGTGCCAGAATTATACCAAGTTAAATCACACATAAGGCCAGGCTGAGGGTGGAGTGAGGTTCAATTAAAATAGCTGAGAAAAAAATATTACGTGGCAAACATTATAAAAAATAAGTCAAGCACTCAAACGTGGAGGGAGATGATGATGATTATGGCTGGAGCTTTGAATTGCACGCGGAAACATTTGAATGGTAATATTTACAATGTCAAACTCTGTTCAAATCAATTGATCTGTGGTGCAAAGAAATTGGATTTTAAATCAGAGGCGCCAAGTAAATTGCAGCACAGGCCGCGGAACAAGAGTTAAATTACTAACAACTACACAACATTGCTAAAAGCTGCCAGGTCAAATTAGAGAAGCTTCGATATAACATGACAAGAAGTCCAGAATGCTTTAGTTGCGGCCGCAAGAATAACAGGGTTTTGATATATCCTGCCAAGAACATCAAATGCAAAAATGAGACGAAGAGATGTAAGAAAACAGCTACGAAGAGAGATGACACACATGGGTTACCAAATGCAAAAAAACAACTCAGAAGAAAGATGACACACAAGGCATTCACTCCATCAGATGAGAGTATTAAACGTAGGCTATTAGGCAGAGCAGGTAAATCCACGGGCAAGATGTCAGATTATAATGCAAGTTATGCGAAGGGTGAATGCAATATTCCTTAATTATAAACAAAGCTGGGGGTTGGAATAACCACTTACCCTATGGCCGTAGCCCCCCACGATGCAACATTATAAATAACTTTGCTCCCATCCCAAGCCTTTCGTAGCTTTCCCTTTTTCTTTTTCACAGAAAATGTCTTGCTAAGCGCTAATAGAACAAACCAAAAATAGTCAGAAATTATTTCCCATTGTTTTTATCTAACTTACAATGAAATAGTCTCAATAATACCATAGAAAGTTATCTAGAATGAAAAAGGTATATGATAAAGAGTTATCTCTTGCTTATCACACAAATATATGAAAGAATAACAAAAGTAAGGTATCATAAGCAGAATGCCAACAAACTCACCGTCCTGAAGTTGCATAGGCGTCAAATCCTACAGAGCAAAGAAATCAATTAGAGAGAAGAAATTTCAAATGCATTAGGGTGAATATGTTTGATGCAACTGATTGTAGATGTATTTCATAAAACATTCTTCACAGCCAAAGAAGAGAAAGACATCCCTTATTACAAATGCAAATGATTGTTACCCGACACATGAATGAGAACGGCTACAGAGAACCAGACTATGGAAAAGGCCTGTAAATTAAGTAATTGAGACTTCTTGAGCATTGGCTTGCGATATATAGTTAACAGCATAATTATTGTGAGTTGCAACTGCTTATTTCTTAAGTGGACAAACATCCTTGTAGAGAAAATAGGCATTATGTTAAACTTAAATTCATTATTAAATATTAAATCCAGAAGTTTTCAGTTGAACTTTATAAAGAAATAGTAGTGGTATACGTATATAACTATTATCAGGTAGTCATGTTGCCAGACATGATTAAACATCAGTTTATGCAAGCCACGATAAAAACAGAGAGCATTTATGGCTACCAAAGTCGAGTAAGCAGACAACAGAACAGCTAAAAGATATTAAACACTAGGCATATGAGAATCCATCAACTGGGATAAAGGAATATATATTGGTAAATAACACTATTTCTATTTATTTAGTAGTTTTTAATCTAAATATTAAAAGTAGGAAACAGGGAAATAAAAATATGTTAAAATTGTCAAAAAGTCCTCATTGTTTAAATGGCATAGTCAGATACAATGACATCACACAAATTACATGGACGACATGACATGTAGCCAATCTGTGCAAATGATAAGAATCACAAGAAATAATTTAGGATCTTTAGGATTAAAACCTTGTAAGAAATGTAGGAATTAGAAAGAAGGTGGAAGGAAAGAATCACTCTTCCCAAGGGAGGCAACACACAAAGGATGTGACAGTCCTTTGATACAGCCAAGGGTTCTTGAATCACTCAAGAATTTAGGAGAATCGCTCTCACTAAGATAAAAGAGATAAACTCTAATATTTCTGAATAAAATTTCACTTATTATTTCTTGATAAGAATGGTTCAGCTTTGCCATCGGAATTACAAAAGACTCAATAAAAGAAAATAAATACTAATAATAACCCATTAATCTAGAAATTGAAAACTATTTAATGAAAACAAATAAAGGCTAATAATGATTCATTAACCTAGGAATTGAAACTACTTAATGACTGATTGTATCTGAAACTGTGGCAATCAAAAGCCAATCAGCTATGCACCCCTTGGTCTCCCAAAGGCTGATGACTAAATTTTCAATTGGGTCCTTATTACAACTTAAAACAAAATCAAACTAAAGCCCATTAATTGATTAATCCAAAACACAATTTGGCCAACCAACAATACTTGTTGAAGCTTCCTTTGTTTCCCTTACTCTAGCCCTTATCATAGGTCATGTTCACATCAGCAAAGAAGTCAAATACATGCCAATTCAGAAAAGCAAAAAAAGATTGCAGTTAGTACGGTTAAAAATTGGTGTGATTTGACAATATATGAATGAATTGTGTGACTTTGTGATTCTGAGGACAGAAAATGGTGGTTTCTCAGTCAGGTTGCAACATATCTAAATGAGGATTTGCATCCAAAAACATATTCGTATCCAAGAACATAATCGACATGTCATGATTTGTACACACTTCTACACAACATGGATGGCAACATATGTATAAAAGAAAACTTTAACGATGATCGGGGAAGAAAAAACCCAAAACCTTTAGAGAAAGATACAAATCATTTTCCCCAATTGGAATTTGCACCTAAATGAGAAGCATAGTTAGAGGTATAAGCAGACCCGTGAGTAAGATGAATAACAGAAAGCAGAAGACAGCTGATTTTTACAGAGAGTGACACTTCAGAAAGAACATTAAAGTTTGACACTTCAGAAAGAACATTGAAGTTTGAAACAAAAATATTTGATTCACAGTTTTCAAATTACTGCTCGATAATATCATTTAAATGATTCACAATGAATTAAACAAAGCATGAGAGAATCTAAAACATGTACATACATTATAGAGCAACTGAACAACAAGTACATGCATATCACATACCTTAGTCTGCTTGATAGATAGCAAATATGCAGCCATGAAGCATGCAATGCCCTCCACTATATCCTCTTGTCTAACAAGAACAAAATCTTGTTGGTCTGAGTCATCACGATGGCCTTCCCAGAGATCATTTTCACTAACCATATCCCAAGAATTACCTTCCTCTGCCACAACCAAGCACTTTTTTCTTTTATTATCATTCTAAATTTGAGACAATAGAGAATACATTGATTACTTTAAATCACCAAAATGCAGAACATACCATCTATATTCTGTGAAACTGCAGCCTGAGCACCTTCCAACTTTTGAAGAAAGGCAGAACATTCAACTCTTGATTTTAGCAGATCACATAACTGCATTGAGGCACATGGGCTGTGGTGTTAGGAAGAATAATCAGCTGTACTATATCCATATAAGGTAGTATTAGAATCATACTATTTACAATTATTCCCTTCTTACATAAGTGAGTCTATAATGAACAAATTTTTATAACAATTATTTAGTTTCACCTCTGTAACCCACGTAACAAAGGTTTACATTCTATCATCAGAAAAGCTTATGGAAGGGTATCTATATCTAAGTTCTGTCCCAATTTTTATTTATTTATTTCAAAATACTAACAAGACTACTTTTATTAACTGTCTATTCGAACCTGTGCTAATACTCAACCATCTAAGCATCCTTGGCCAAGTGAAATTTTACTATCATAAACGTGTAGCAAATTCAACACCACGTTTTTTGTCATGAATGTTGTCAACACCATAAGAGTGAAATGACCTGTGATATTGGACAATACAACAACGAAAAAAGTCCGTACCAAGTGAAACCCTAGAAGCGAAAGAGGGATTACCTCGTCGGCATCAGGATCAGCTACCGCGGTTGACGCAGTGGCGTCACCCTGGCCTTCAGCCTCACAATCCTCTTCTTCCACCTGAGCAGAGACGGGGGAAGAAGGAGAAGCAGCGTTAATCAATTCGAGAGCTCTCTGACACTGTAAGAGAACAGCCTCAAGGGTCTTCCTCTTGACACGATGTGGGTCCAGGTCCACTGAACCTTTGAGATCCATTTGCGTGATTTAATAGAAAGGGAGAGGGAGAGATAACGATTGTTGGTTGGTGTCCATGGGATTTACATGAAATGCTTCCAAACAGGGTCTTTGTGTTCTTGTTTAGGGTTATGTTTGGTTAGTTAATAAACAAGATAATGGATTCCATTCGCATGCAAAACAATTGCAGAAAGAAAGATGGCTTTCGTGTACTCCAGTTGTTCCCTTCTCCTCCACGTTTGCGTACCAACCACAAACTCTCTCTTTAATTTTTATACACCTTTCAAATTTGGCATCTCAATATATTTTCCTTACTAAAACAAACAACATGCTTTAACTATTATTTATTATTATTAATACAAAATATAGCTATTTTTTATCTAATTAATAATAAATTATTGACAAATTAACAATTTTATTTTACATATAATACAATTTTACTTCTAACCAACCAAAAAGAATATTATTGTATTTTAAAAAAATAGAAAACTTAACTCAACCATAATTTTTTTTTATTATTACAAGAAAAATGTAATATAACAATAAATAGTGATGAAAATTACAATATTTTGTATAAATATTGGTCCCTTTTTAATAATTAAATTCAGATTATGAAAAATCAAATTTACAAATATTGTGATTTTTTTTTCTCAAGTTCAATCAAAACCAGCGTGTGAATAATTTTACTATAAAAAATAATGCAAAATTAAACATTGATGTGTCAATTTTTATTCAATGTAAAATTTGATTTGAAATAAGTCAATATTTTGTGAACCTTTTATATTTTTTATAATAAAATTTTAATAAATAAAAACATATATTGTAATTTATTTTATAATAATTGTTATATTTTATTTTCGTATTTATGAAAAAATTACATAAATTAATGATTAAAAACAATAATATAAAATTTTCATCATATTTTAGTAAATATAAATATATTGTAAAAAAATATAATTTAAAATAATCCTGAAAATTTTATTTATATATGTAACTTTATATATATATATATATATATATATATATATATATATATATATATATATATATTATAAGTTAGGTATTAGGAGTAATAGGAAAATAAAACAAAAATAACTGAAAAAACAAACGATGAAAATAAAATTTCAATTAATTTTTTTCAACAAAATTTTCTAGACCTTTAATTATATTTTATTTATAATACATTTATATTTATTAAAGCATAATTGCAGTTTTAAATTTTAATGATTAATTATAGTACAATATAACTTATTTATAAATATTAGTATAACTATAGAAAAATTATAATATTTTTTATTATAAAATATATTTTTAACATTTTATAATTTTTACGTAAAATGTTTAACAATTTTATTGTAATGACAATTGATTAAATTAAATTAAAATTAAAACTTTATTTTGACTCAAACTAAATTTTATATTGAATTAAAACTGAATCAGATTTATTTGATTTTTTTAATGAAAAACATTAATCGTAAAACACCTGTATTAGACGTAATAAACTGTTTAATTAGATTAGGAATTTAAAAAATAATAAAATCATAAAAAATTAATTAATTTAAAATGATTTATTTTCTATATCAATTTATTTGTAAAATGTTTGATTTTTATAATGATATTTCTACATATCATAATTATTAAAATAAATAAGTTATTCATGTTTTCAATGGTCATTAGTTGGAGTCAAATAAAGTTTAGGGATATTTTACAACCATTGACTATGTCTTTAAATATTCAATAAATTATAATAAAAAAATAATATTGGAGCATCCAATGCATATCCTCACATTTTCTTATAATAAGTAATAATCTTCAATCCTTTAATACATCTTTAGATACTGGAATTATCTTTTGACTAATATTACTACTTGTTAATGTTTGATCCTTAAATATTATTATTATTATACAACAAAAACTCATACAAGTGTAAGTAATTTACAATAAAACTCATGCTTTTAGCATAATTTTTAACAAATTTTGGATAATTCATGTGAGGTTCTTCCAACACCCCCATAGTTTTTTTCTTCTTTTATCTTCATACTTAAATTAAATCTCATTTGACTCTTACAATTATCTTTATCTTTGAAATACATTTTGAATTGATTTTTATGAAAACACAAAATCTGGAATATATTTATGAAAAAGTTTATCTGAAAATATATTCTGGAACAACAAATCCAAAATACGAAAAGATTTTTTCAAAAATACATTATAGAACACCAAATATGGAATACATCTTAAAAACACTTTTATAAAAATGTATTTTGGAACACTCTATCTGGAACGTATTTCTAGAATTTTTTGTCTAAAAATGCATTATGAAAACATCAATTCCGAAATGGGTTTTTATAAAAGCTAATCCAGAAATGCATTCTAGAATACCGATTTCGGAAATGCATTCTAAAATATCAAATCAGAATGTGTGTCTAGAATGACCAATCTGAAAACTAGATTGGGTGTTTCGAAATGTATTTCCATATTCGCTTTTCCAGAAACACATTATTGAATATAAATCCAGAATATATTTCCAGATTGACCTTTTTGAAAATATATTCTGAAACACTCAATTCGAAATATATTTTCGGATTAACTTTTCTAGTATTCAACCTTATTTTTTAATACTAGTTCGGATGGAATAATTTAGGTAGCAATTTGAGTACAATAAAAATATAATTTAGACATAATATGAATTATTATTTATCTTTAATTATTATAAAAAAACATTCAATGGAGTTGATAACAAAAAAAATCAAATATCTAAATAATTGAGGTACAAAAATTATACACAAATAGAAAGAAGAAGAAGTTGAGATAAAAATCAAATATTTTTTTTTTTAAATATTTAACTTGGAACAGAAGTGAAATGAGAAATTATGGAACAAGAGCCTTCATGTGTTATCTGGCTCAAAAGCCATAAACTAGCAAAGGCCCAAAGGAAGTCCAACTATCAACAACTGGGACTAGATTTAAGTACAAATATTATCATATTTTTTAAATATTATTTGAAAATAAATATATAGTAAAAATAAATTATTATTTTAGAGAAATGTCCTAAATATTAATGAGAATGAAATTGATAATAAAAAATAAAATTGAAGTTTATATCAACAATTTAAAAAAATTACATATTAACGGAGATAACTAATAAAAATCATCATTTAAATCAAAATGTTTTTTAACGTTAACTTATTGCAATTTAATTTATTTTATTTTAAATTTACAACTACTAGTCATGTTGATAGGTAAATATATTTAAGGACAGTTAACGATAGCGTTTGATTTGGTGCATTTACTACTTACAGTTAGAATCCTTCTTCAATCCATAAATTTTGTCACTGCTAGCAGGGACCAAACTCAATTCATCAATTATGTCCTTGTATTTAAAGTAATAAATTTTTTTTATTAATTAATTATAATAAAATTAATACATATATCCTAGACTATAATACTATTTAAAATATCTTCACCCCACATTCTTCAAATTAAGTTCAAGTGTAGGTAATTTTCTCTCTTAAATTTTTTATAATTTTCTCCATGAAATATTTATATTTTAAAAAATATCTAAGAATTATTATTATTAGATTTAATGTATTATCTGTAAAAAAAATTATATATCTTCAATCAAGTAGATTGTTAAATATGATTTTTCTAACATTTATTACACAACTTGGCAATTTGATAGTAGATTATAAATTTATAATTAAATGTCAGTACAAAATATATATTGCTAGTTTATTATTTACATTCTCATGTGAGACTTAATTTTATGGTTTAACCAAAAATCGTGAATTTTGTAAGAGTTTTTCTGCATATTCACTTAATTATAAATTATCAAGTAGTAAATATTATTTAATTTTATAATAATAATTAGTTGATCATGTAAAATTCTTCGAGTTGAATATATCAAACTAAACTCATTTTATTACTAATCTCCTAAATAATTGAAAAATCGAATTAAGCTATGTATTCTATAATACATTACATCTAATAGTTGAATATATATATTTTTTTAAACACTCAACCATAATAAACAACATACTAATACTGTTATGAAGGGGACCAGTAGCCAAGGCCCAGTACTTATTTAAAACCAACCAAAATCACATGTTACTATTATTATCAGTTATCAATGGGGCAGGCAAATAAATATAGCAAACTTTTGTTAGTTAAAAAAAATAATATTATTTATAATGTGACAATAATTAAAAATTATATGTTAAATTTTAGTACATTAAATATTATATTTATGTCAAATATATTTTATATTTTCATGGAAATCCTTAGGATATAATTAGGGATGGCAAAACGGGTCAGCCGCCTGGTTTTGCGCCCAGCCTTTGGCCGCCAAAAGCGGGCGGGCGGGCTGGCCCAATATAGTCATGACGGCTGTAGACCTTAGCACGCCCGCTGAGGAGCGAGTTGGCGGGTTGGCCCACCATAATTTAAAAATAATAATTTTTTTAATAAATTTAATAATAAGATTATTATTTGTTTGTCAATAATTCAATATATATATATATATATTATTTCAATTTTAATAATATAAATCAATATATTATTTTAAGAAATTATAATTTAGAACAATAATAAAATTTACATAATAATAAATAATAACAAATATATATATATATATATAAATAACGTTAAACTTATAAAATTTATATTTTTTATATTGAAAAATTCAAATACCTATATCTTTTTTATTTGATAAAACTTCATATTATACTTGGTTAAGTAATTCTTATACCTTTAATTCAAGTAATAAGGATAAATATAATCAAGTACTTAGAATAAATAAGGAGAACAGGAGAGAAGGTTATATTTCGGGAAGGAAAATATTTTTGTGAGAATGAAACTTTTTAATTCTCTTTTTAAAATTTTTAACTTTATATTATCTTTATAATTAATTTTATTACAATAAAAAATTATTTTTTTATTAATTAGGCGGGCCGCGGGCTGGCCCGCCCATCCCGCGGGTTGGCCCGACGGGTTGGCGGGCTTGGCGGGCGGGCCAAAGCGGG